TTTGGCAGTATATAATAGCAGGGTCCCCTATGAAGCCAATGTCCAAGTCGTAGCGCAAAATGCCGCTTCGGAAGCGAGAAAATCGCTTCGAAATAGCGAATTTGCACGAGGATCCCCATCCATGCCCGCCCTCCCCCATCCATGCCCGCCCATTTGTGCGCGCCCATCCAAGCACCGTTCCGGAAAGGCCTGTGGGTTCTCCGGAACAGGGATTGTCGGGGTTTTCGCGCATTCCCGACTTCATATTCGTAATCAGGGACATGAGAAGACCCTGAAATGACAATAACGTGGAAGTCTAAAATCTGGGTGGACGGTGCCTTTAAAGGCAGTGGATCGGCAAAATCCAACAACTCGGGATTTTAGGGTGGGGGACATTAGGTCGCCGAAAAAGGGCGGTCCCCGCGGTCATGTGCGACAGATACGTACCCTTGTACATGCGCGGACATGCGTTCCTGCAGGGAATCCGCGCGGGACTCTTCCAAGTTTGGCGACCTAATGTGCTCCACCCGGGATTTTAACGCGGTAGGTTCCTTATTGCCCAACTATGAAAACAGTGCAATCCCGGTTGCACAACATGCTTTCCCTGCCGAGAAAAACGCTCTAAAACTTACACGCGCAGGCCAATCTTACACACATCTGGACGAGTTGGCAATTTCCTTCTCACCAATGGAGGCTGCCCGCCGCAACGCTATAACCATTGGGTTCTGCCACGATTTAGCGTCATCAGCCTTGCTCCACTCGTCCAATATCAAAGGGAAGGGCATTGAAAAACGCTCATTTTCGCCGTTTTCAAGCTTTCAAAAGTGGATTTTCGGGATCAGCGTATTGAAAAACCCCAGGTAAGCGCAAATTTGACTAGGTTGAGATTTGCAGAGCCACTGCTCAGACACTCGCACCGCCGGCGACTTTCGACGACGGCCTTCCGGCCGGCGACCGTTCCATCATTTTGGGCGGAGCCAAACGCCGGCCGGCCGCCGGACTAGTAAATAATGCCGGCCGGCGGCCGTTCCACTGTGCAAGTGCTCGGAAAGCGCACAAGGTTGCGCGTGCAGTAAGAAAATAATTTCAAACATTGGGCGCGTTGTGTCTGCTAAGCAGAAAACTTCTCTCTATTAATTTTCCTTCGTTATTGTTGGGGCTTTCTACTTCGGTTGCGTCACTTTCTTTGTCCGATGATAGTTGATGTAGCCCATTATTATGATTCCGTTCATTTCATTCATTTCTTTTCAGATTTGAACAAACTCCATGGTGTTCGTTATCTCTTCTTTCTATATTATTGCTTATTTTGACTTGAATGGCGAAAAAGCCGAACTTCAGTGATGACGTGAATTCTAGGTAAGTGTCGCAACACCTTTTGGGTACGAACTAAGGCAGTACACTAGACACCACAAGTTTTTTTGACAGCTGCAATACATTGTGTTTGGGTTCTTGCTTTTATGAAGGATACAGTGAATGGTTGAACGCTTCAGTTTAAGGCCCCGTTCAGACTTCACGCGACTTAATCGTCGCGATTTTCAAATCGCGTGAAGTCTGCCCGGGGCCTAACACATTCACGACAATACGACCCACCGGTGGGTCGTAAGATTCCTGAAGCTATAGCTTTGCCAGTATACGATGGAATTCTACGGGGTTCTGGCACATGATTGGGGACACCTTGGCGAAGCTACAGCCAGAGTGGTCCGGGTTCGGGTTACTGTAATATAATGTTAAGGTAGGTATACTGTAGATAGAGGTAAGGCACAGACTTTAGCTCAAATTTTTCGCAGAGTGGTGCTGTTTTTGAAGATTCAAGTTTACATGAACGAGAAATACAGGGAGGGCACGAGACTGATGTCAGCCCATCAAAAATTATCGATTTTATTGATTTAATTGATTTTTTGCATTGTTAAAATAAAGCAATATACAGCAATATACATACAAGTCCAGCAATATACATTGTTGCGGGACCCGCAGGAACCACAGGAATCGCAGGAATTGCAGGAATCACAGGAATAGTATGGCCGGCCCCTTAACCATCTCCTGTGAACGCATATTTTTGATATTGCTCTGCTAACAGACGTTATCGCTACTCTCTGAATAGCTGTAAGTTCTGGTATAAGTTAAAAAGTGTCAATAAATTGCCTATTTCATTTACAGGTTATCGGATGCGGCTAATAACGGTTGAATGTGGCACTCAGAAGTATAAAACAAAATTATGTGACCTTTTAGCATAGCCAAACGGAAAGGTTGTTTAACGATATGTGAACCCGTTGCATCAAATCTAGCTTTTTAGTTTTGAATGTATTTTTCATGCATATGTGTACAATGTGACAATGTTTGTTGTTTCAATGTCTCTTTGCATTGTACCTTCTGGCTGTAATAAATATGTATGTTGTTGTAGATTCGTACCCCATATTAACGTTACAGAGCTGAATGAAAGGTAGATAGAGAAAAAAATACTGTGGCCCAGTGCTATTTTGTTGCGCCATTGACGCATACCGGCTGGCGGCCGTTCGAGTACCGTTCGGCCGGCTCGCGACCGTCCCGGCCGAAATATCGGTGACTGACCGGCGGTCGTGGAACGGCTGCCGGCCGGTGCGAGTCTCTGAGTGCCTTTAAAGGCAGCGTCCCGGCAGATTTTGCATTTCCATCTTTTTGCATGTTTTGGGCCTTCTCGACCCGTAGATCCCGAACCTGAGCTTTAAAAGGGGTGGAAAGGCCTTTTTCGGGGCGTTTTTTTCAATTTTGAAAAGGCAGCTCGGACGAGAATTTTCAAAGGAAAGTCGGGAGGCTCTGGCACCAAGACCCTGCTGCCTGTTATTTTGGCTTTGTAGCATGCACAATGCGGGAAAGCGGTTGGGGGGTCCCGCGCCGTCTAGCGGAGAATACTCGTTCGAACAAGGTGTTAGGGGAGCGAAAGGAGGAAGGGGAGCGGCGCTTGGGCCGCCCCCTGGCTTGCAGAGTTCACATTTTCGGCGCGGAGTTACTGTTTTGGTTCACTTGGAGGGCCTCCTATCCATCTGTGTCAAAATCTGAGGTAGGTCAATCTGCCGAGCCGCCGCCTTTAAGGCGGGCGGGTATCGTAGACTACTCGTCATATCCATATCGAATTCATCTACTTTTGGTAAAGTTTCATTTACGAGGCTGGGAGATGGAACGGAGGGGGGGAGGGTGGATAGAGCACGCTGACCACGAAAATATTATTGACAGGGCCGGGTGGAGCCGGGTAAGCCAGCTAGCTTACAATACGGGACCATCGATACACGGGTTGGTCGTTTTGCAAATGCTGCGCTGGCGCCAGCTCGCAAAGTGAAGCAGCGTCAGTCGACAGAGTACAAATGAATAGTGCGGCGACGAAGGAGACGAAGGAAGCGGTGATGGCGACGCAGAAAAGCCTCAGCATTGTGGTGCGCGCTGCTGATTGATTCCTCTTCGCTCTCTCCTTTTTCGATTGCTTTGCTCGGAAATTCCTAATCAGATCAGCTAAGTGGATCATTCATGTCACCATGTCACGTTTCTAATACAGACATGACGGAGTTAACCGATCTCCTAGGGCTGATAAGTTCTCATCCTTGCATCTTTGACATCTCCTACGTGGAGTTGCAATCAGCATTCTGGAAGTCTTATAAAGATTAAATTTCTAGTTGTCATTTGAAAATCAATAGGTACAGGTGTATTCTAGAAACGTAACAATATTGCTTTACTGCAAACTTACTACAGTTGATGATGGTCGAATTCTTAACTTTTTGTAGTTTTGACCCAAGTTATGTAGATCTACCATCCTAGGTTGTTCAATTTCATCAAATTTGCCAACGACCCTCATCTTGTGAGTGTGCTTTCGTGTTGATTATCCACATTGTAAATGAAGCTACTATGATGATAGTCATTCAAGAGTGCATTAGCATTAAAGGCAGCGTCCAGGCAGATGTGGACCTATGGGGCTTTTACGTGGAAAGTACTTTTGGGGCCCTAACTAAGGCACTGCCCAAGCGGCAGCTCAGGTAGTGCTTTAATGGCTGAGATATTCCCCTCGAAACTGGCCCCCGCGAACGTATTCGCATGAATTCATGGCAGTTTCGCGCCAGGATCCACGCTTTGCGCCATGAATCCATGCGAAATACGGTCGCGGGGTCCAGTTTCGAGGGGAATATCTCAGCCATTACAGCACTACCTGAGCTGCCGCTTGGGCAGTGCCTTAGTTAGGGCCCCAAAAGTACTCCCCACGTAAAAGCCCCATGGATCCAGATCTGCCTGGACGCTGCCTTTAAATGGACACGTAGAGGATTTTCTAGGCGACATGGATGCGTGTCTTTTTGTACTTTTTTCCGTCATGGGAATAAACTGGGAACTTAGAAGTAATGTTATTTATAGCTTTTATTTGGCTTATCATCCTAAACATTTTCGGAAGCTGACTGCCAACAGCCCATTATAAGCTGAATGACAAGGCCTTTCATTTAACAAAGAAAAAAAACAACTAACGTTGCTGTGCAATAATCCTTCTCTAGAATCTGGATCACATTTTAAAGTTACTTGCAAAGTGAACATCGTACAGTGATCACGCTTCAATGCACAATGGTCCGTATGCAAGTGCACTTTATCTAAGCTTTCGTGTTTCGTTTGCTATCACATTCCTGACAGAACATTATTTGAACCATCTCTGAGCTTGAGGCTGCGTCTTTGAACACTTTTTTCTGCTGTATCCCAGTTTATTATATACGTTCGACAGCTAAATACGATCGCTAGCAGGTTGGTAAATCTATTGTTTGTCAAAAAACTCTTCCGATTTTTCACCTTGGTTTTTTTTGCGATTATTGGCTTACCATTATTATACTTTTGTAAGCTTGAACCCTAATTGATTTCCTTGAAGCAAAGGGTTGCTATGAATTTTCAAATCTACCTACCCATCAATCGTTTCTGCGATTCTGCACACGGCACCAATGCCCATTCTTTGTTGTAGTTTTTTCTTTGTCGATAGCATACTCTAGGGAGCAGCAAGGTCATTACGGTCGCTGCGTTTGCAGATGCGGCTGGCCGCAGAGAGCTGCTATCAAATGATTGCAAATTGCATCTTTGCGGATTTGTACTCTCCCAGCAATAAATTCTGTAAGTTTTCAGCGCATGTTGTGAAGTGTCTGATAATTTCTTTAGTCCAATTCTTCTTCATAAATTAGGAGTGCCACGTAATAGAATCTTTAAATTGGCATGTCAGCAGTTGGTTTGTCACTGGCTGCTTTACAATGTTTTTGCTTTGTTGGTAACATCCTAGGAAGATTGAATCCGGTTTCCAGCTTGTTGCACAATGACCACATGTTATCAGTGATGTGCGAGAACGCACTTCAGACTTATCTGCCTGCATCGTTGGATACATACCTGAATTTCGACATTTCAACTTGCATAGTTTTGTCATTCCATTAATCTGTTTCGTCCATCTATGGAATCTCCATCCTCATTTTTTGGATTTCTTTTTGTTAGCATACTCATGTGCGGCTGCATCTATTATATTATGATATGATTTATATGCCCGTATAAAAATGACCTCAATGAACGTCAGCGGGCGCAACTTTGATCGCTTCTTTTGCTTTTACTTCATTTATCGCAATGTTTTTTTTCTCCAAGTACCATTTTCAAAGGCTCGGACTCGATAATGCTTTTATTATTGTTTTCGCTCATATGGACACTTACTTCGTGCGGCAATCGAGCAAGTTCATTGCGTGTACTCTCCATTTTTTATTGATTACAGTATACTCCTTTTTACAGACGTTTCATAGGTAAAATGCCACGTAAACGTAAGGGAAAATGTCGACAAATGTATAGATACGACGAGGAAAATGGATTGCTTGAGGTAATGTGGATGCTAACGTTTCGCAACTTTTTTGGCATTTGTATGTATTGTCGAGAACGCATTTGCTATTATCATGTTTTTCAATGTACATCTGATGTATAGATTAGACCAAGCTTTTTAGACCATTGCTCTCCTGTTAATTTTGCGTTGTTTAGGAGATTGCGAAAGTAACTTCTCCACCCGGTAAAGTCAAACTTGTCAATCATTATGTGCGACCAACCGAGCCCATTGCTGTTACTGATTGGAAGTCTGTAAATCGCACATATTGCGTTGTATGCAGAGTAAGTTTTCAATTTTTTTCTTGCAAATTTTGTGTTTATGGCTGTATGCTAATATCATTTCTGTTTTCGAGACAATCAACGATTATTGTTTTAGTAAGTTTTACCGTAAATGCTATCCTGTATTTGTGTTTCATTTCACAGTTTTTGGTAGTTTAGATGTTGAGAATTTGAATTTTGGCAGTTCTAGCATGTAAAAGTTTTTATTCGAGGAAGGAGGAGAATTGCTTTGCTGCGACGCATGCCCTGCTTCGTTCCATCTTTTATGTCATGAACCAGTCATTCGGCGAGAAGCGATACCTCGCGGTCGTTGGCTCTGTAACAGATGCCACCATTCTGGAAGCAGCATCACACGCAAACGAAATAGAGCTTCAGTGAGTCGTTATAATGCATTTTGGTTTGTTCAACGCGTTCTTTTCTAATGGCTAGGTGGCTTGAGGGGGTGGGGGCGTTGGGATGTGGTTTGCAGTCCGCATTCCATTGGTGCTTTTCTTTTCGTGGATTGCAAGCAGGGCTCTTATTTCACTTCACATTATTGAAATGTCTAATGTAAGATATGTAATGTAACGTCAGCATAGCAGCAGCTTGACTTTCTTTGCACAGAGCTCGCAAAATGAAGCTAATTTTTTTTGCAGACATTGACAGAGGATGAGCACAGACTTCTGGAAATGAACAAGATTTTCTGTAGTAGAGAGATTAGGAATACTGTGGCTTTCTACTTAGCTCTTTCTACCTCATTGACGAGCTGTAACGCACGTCAGGTACTTGCGATTTTTTTTTGCTTGTGGTTCAGATGTTTTGCAACAATAAGTTAGCATTTTGGTCATTGCTTGCTGCTTCTTTTAGTTCGAACTTCCCGCTTCCTTACGTAATGACGGGCTTTTACCTTATCGCGGTCTTGCTCAACCTCGTTACATCGTTGTGAATGAACCATGCACGGTTTGTAAGGGGTAAGTCTGGTTGACAACACTTAATTTGATGTGTACCACACAGGTATCTAGGTTAGGAGAAGATTCTCTGAAGATTCGTTGCGACTTTTGCCGCTACGTTTACCATCTGGACTGTCTGCGACCCCCCTTATGTTGTCCACCATCAGAGACTTGGATGTGTCCAAATCACGTGGAACCCGTTGTGGTGAGCTTTAGTTCAAACATTGATTGATGTGGGGCTTGCTTGAATTATGTGTTTTCAGAGACGTTTCGGATAACTTGAATCTTTTCTTGATAGTTCAGGAATCGAAGTTACTGACTTCCATAAGTGTAACGGAACGGCGGCATCTGTGGGCAAAATACGCTAGGCAAAGAGTTGATGAGCATTTCGTGCGCATGAGTTTTTTGCACAAGGTAACGTATTCGTGCGCTAGAGAGTTATTGATGAGGAGGCTTTATGATTTAGATCCACAAATCATCTGATGAGCAGATCACTGCAAATGTCCAAACCTCAAATGCATGCGAGAAGTAAGTGCTATAATGACCTTTGAGAAGCTTTCTCTTATCTGTGATTGTTCGAATTGAAGGGAAAACCTGTACAAGGTGGCCTACATCTTTATGAGATTGCTTTTCTGCTACCCGGAATGCCCCAATGTCCTGCAAAATGCACATAATCTCTGCTCGGAACTGGTTCAGAATAGCTTTGTTTTGATGATTTGTTCTTCACTGGCTTGGGCTCCGAATCTTTAGGTGAAAATTCCAGTTTGCTACCATCTCTTAGGTCCCGCTCTTCGTACGTGCACAGAAAACAGGCACATAGAAGCAGATATTTTTGTTCAAGATCATCGCGTAGTTGTACTAGAGCAGGGTATTATTAGACCTGATGGGGTCACTCTAAGAAAGATTTTGATCCGTTATCATCGTTTTTTTTTTAATATTTTGATGAGATTAGAATTTGGATAATAATAACAAAAGCTATATATCTTTTTACAGAAACCGTGACAGTCCCTTGGAATATCACACTTCGCTTGAAGTTGACGACAAGCCTACAACTAGCACATACAATGATGAACCATCAGTGCTCGTGGCTGAGCGACCTGGTATCCGACGTGATCGCGAGTGGATGTGCGAACGGCCACCTAGCACAAGTCTCAATTACCGCGAACAATCTCCTCCGAATAGGCCCAGCTTGCAAGACGACAAAGCTCGATCTTCCACCTCAACTATACCACTGCATGCTTGTATAGATACGGCACCATTCTGCTCAGCTGTATTACCTTTGTCAACTCGAGGATTTTGCTCGAACTCTCGATCTCTGGATCGGACTTACACTGTTATGGTTCCAGCATCTGGCTGTAACGCATCCGATCTCAATGAGGAGCTTCAGTTTATTCATGTTGACTTTGCGCTTGACGAAGACAATTGTTCTTTTGATTGTCGTTCCTATTGTACGTGCGAGGATGTGTGCCATCGTCGAATTCGCGGCAATGCTGAAAATTCGCTTACCAAATCGGATGATGCGGCACCTCAGTTTATTAGAACTGCTGCTGAAAATGATCTCAATGAGGAGTATGAATCAACGAAGTGCGGTTCGCCTATGGACATCGCGCAGATAGAGACCCCATCGATGCCGATTCGCGGGTCTGTACTAAGAGCTTTGTTGGAAAGCCCCGATGGATCTGCTGTAGAACATGCGTCCAAAAACAAGTCCATGGTTATGACGCGCATGCGTCGATCGAGGGCACCCGTAATTAAATCGCCATTGTAATGTGATTTATGAGTTCGCTAAGCGTATAACCGCATCTTTTTTCTCTTCGTTGCGCGTATTTTAGGTTCTGCGCATATGCATTCCAAAAACGTGCTTACCACATACCCAGTATACTGTACAAACCATAAACATTTCACCATCTCTAGTCATACGCCTGACGTGAGCATTGTAAAAACTTAGTGCAACTGGTTTGTGATTTGGTGTCTGCGCGCTCATAGCTGTGTTGAATTCTCAATTTTACAGCCAAGAATAGGTCATGCTGGTATTGCATTAGGCGTATGCGTGGAAAAAACGCATTTGTTAATGTTGTTAATACGGCGCACTAGGCAAAGAGTATAAATTGTACATAAGTGCCTTATTCTACGTCTAAGGTGTAGAGATATTCTAGCCTAATAGGCTGATGTTGTATACTCTGTGTAACTATCGAGTTATCATAATCCGGTAAAAACTGCCTTTATGGATTTTAAGGGAACATTCAACTTTCATGTGTCATTCTCATATCAATCGGGTCATTCCTTATTTGTATCCACGTATCTCACATTTTTTTTGGTGTTATAAGATTTGACAAATATTATTTTTCATACAATTGTAATAAATCTTCGATTGACTCAGTTCACTTGTTTCTGGGATGAGTTCCTTGTATACTTTTTTTTCGTTATACTTCTCACTTTTTCGTTCGATTTTATTGATGCCTGGTATTATTGTGAATATATAAGGAATTTCCAAGCCCTAAGCGTTTTCATTTTTGTCCTCATTTCTTGAAGAGCATCGATTTTGACAAAATGCTTATATTATCGAACAGAGCTGACCCCTTCGATTTCCCAGCTTTCAAAAATGGAAAAATGGCAAAGAGAAGCATTTTCGACGTCTGCAATCTTTGCTGTGAAAAGCGTTTCTTGCCAAGTTTGTTGCCCGATTATGTTTAATGGCGTTCGCACGTCAGTATGAGGCTAAAGAGCCTTGAGTTTAAATAAACCAAAAGTTCGTGCCTGGAGAATAAAAAATTGACTTTTCTTGAGACGGGAAGTTTTGCACTGGGAATCGGTGGATGAGAAATCGAGCATAACGTGTACGCAGACTCTATAATAGACATGTAAAATGAATTTCTCTCTGACAAAACATGACCCCATAGACAATCGTCATCAAATCCTTGCATGCTTGACTGAGAAATACATTAGTATCCGATGTCATTTATACTCGTTCCTGCAAAAGATCTTTTCAATTTCAAGAAGATGTCAGGCGCTTCTCTGATGACCTTTTGTGGACCAGACGCGCTGGCTCGCGTAAAAATGGGAATTAAAAGTCTGGTAGAAAGGTAGGCCTTAGACTTACCCGTTTAGCCGCTTCGCCGCTTTGTAATTGGTCAAAATCACTGATCTGATCAATCATGAAACGGCTAAGTGATTAAGCGGATGAGTCTGCTTAAAATGAGTTTATTTGCTATAGCTTAAATACGATTCTCATAATATGCTCAATGTTTATATCATCTTGAACTTCACTTTGTTTTCCGTAGCGTTTGGGTGTTCCGCAAAAACATTTCTCTGAAGCTGAGGATCTCTTTGGTCACCAAGTATATGAAGGAAAGACCCACAGTATATCTGAATTCATCAGCGGTGGCACTTTTCTTTGTCACTTTGAAATAATAGAGAAAAACTGTGTGTATTTCTTTCTAAATTTTAATTTTGGTGCCCTTTTGTGAGGTTGTGAAGCTGTTTAGCTTTTTCTCTTCACTTGGTTTGAAGTCCTTAGACACCTCGGTGTTATCGAATTTCCTGGCTGTGTAGATGTTATAGTAACGCAATGCGGAGCGGTTACCATGGTGACAAGGTAATGCCCACTGGAGTCTTGGTATATTTGGTTGGGTCGCAAATATTCACGAGCGAAACCTGCCACCATGCTTTTCTCTAATCCTATTGCCACTAAGGCCGAATTATGATTGTAGCGCTCGTTCTATACTACGCACTAGAATCTTTCGTTTCTATGTAATCGGCTCAGCGCGCGCTTTTTGCTTTAACGAGCGCAGAAGAGGCAATATAACCACATGCGTGCGCTAGTGGGCGCTAACATGCAACCGGAAGGGAGGCTCAAACACCCATCGACCTAGTCGTCGTATCGATATGTTATGCGAGATGAGCCTCTTTCTGTGCTATCTTTTGCACTCTCTAATTGTTAGTTCCCATGACAGTCTTGGCTTGAACCTTGAAAAAGTCAAGCGACTAGACAATGTCAAAAATGTCTAAAATTATTGTAGCGACTAAATTCATTGCTCCGCCGACATTTATGTGATAGCCACTTCGTAACTAGTTTTTAACATTCCTCAACGCTCAGTTCACGCCCCATTTAGCACTCTCCCACATTACGACGCAAATACTGATGTCCTTTATTTGAGCTATGGAGAGGGAATTTGTTGCTTTAGATAGATTTATATGTTATCTGAAGTGCGAACAGAAACGTCACAACTGACCAATGAAGAAGATCTTCGCGCTGCCGATGTAATACGACCTGAAGACGTCTTGCGTCTCAACGCGATCACTCAGGGTTTGTTAACAAGCTGTTGTTGCGATTTACAATTGTTTGATTCCAGATTACCTTTGTAAACCTTCGGCGAACATATATGATATCGAGTTTACCAGGTTCAAAATTAGGGATTTGGACACTGATCAAGTGCTGTTCGAGATAGAAAAGCCTCCAGGTTCGGTTGAATCCAGTTATTCCTCATGTTACTCGGATATGATTCGTGTACAAAAGTTGCTTGATTGAATCAATTTTATTTTTTCAAGATGACGCTTCTGAACGCGAAGATCAACCTACTGAGCCAGCCAGATATGTTCGATATCGGTTTTCCGAAGACTTTCTACACCTGAGAAGGGTAAGTGTCTAGAATTTTGTTTACATTCCAAATTGTGGAGTACTTAGGTTGGTGCAACCGTTGAGTTCGTGGTAGGCAACAAGCCAATCAATAAATTTCGGATGGTCGAACGACATTTTTTCAAGGTGAGAGATTTTGAGCTACAACATAAAGTAAAACGCAAAACGATCGCAAAACAATAAACGATCAGGCTTAGGCTGCAAAACGCTCAGTGCGCACACATTTTATCTTTGCAGCATTTACATCACAATTAAACAGACTAAAATAGAATGCGCTTGATGACTATGTTACCAAAATTTTTCTACTGCAGGATCGATTACTGAAGAGCTTCGACTTTGAGTTTGGATTCTGTATTCCGAATTCGAGAAACACGTGTGAGCATATCTACGAATTTCCCCATCTTAGCCCCGAACTAGGTAAGTTTATCAGTGTTTCCTTTAAGCTTGTAATAATTTTTAGTCAGGTCATCATTCGTAAAATGCAAAATGGTATCTACCTTTCATAAAACCCAATCCATTTCAGTCAAAGAGATGGTGGAATGTCCGTACGAAACCCGCTCTGATAGTTTTTACTTTGTGGATGACCAACTAATCATGCATAACAAAGCGGACTATTCATACGACGGCTAAATTCACACGGAGCACATTATTATCTGCTTATACAAGTGGGCTTGATTTGTAATGATCAATTTTGCAGTAATAATTATTAGGTTTCGACACGAGATGGCTGGGTAAAATAATCTTTTGAAAGAAAAACGCATGCGCAAATCAGGCTGAAACTTGGGCAGCGCGGTTGCAAGGGAATTGTAAATCAATGAAGTTTTGCAAATAGTTTCGTCTGCGCTTTAAAAGACTGGTAATAGTAAACAAGCCGAAGGGCCATCTCGTCTTGTAAAACCTGACAATTATCTATGCCGATTCTATCATTAAGTTATTGTGCAGTCTGTGATGCCTGTTTTCTTTGTATGATTCTTATGGCTAACAAACATTGAACATTTTTATGTACGTGGAAATTAGCAACTTCAACCTTCGGTCAACAGTCGGTCGAAATAATTGATCTCTTAATTATATTCTTTCTGAGCTTTTATCATCTCTGCATCATAAATAATTATGCAATCATATATTTCAACAGAAAATGAATAACGCTTGGTGGAGGACAGTTGTGAGAGAAAATGAAAAATGCATTGTGAGAGAAATTATTAGATGCAGGTAGGAAGAGAGTCTACGCAGATAGTGAGTATCTAGAATATCAAGCGAAATAAAACGAGTATCTAAGAAGAAATCACAGAAAATGCAAAAGTTTAGAACTTCAGAATATAGAACCTTTTGGAAGAACTTAATGACTAGATTGAAACTGCATGGGACCAATATCTACATGAGGATGAATCGAACAAGAAAATGGATAAAGACCTCGATCAAACTCGAAGTTGTTGGCGTGAAAGCCAAACCCCTGTGATGAAGAAAAAAAGGACAAGATATTGATGGTGCCTTCAATGCTGCATTCCCCTTTCCGGTTTGAAAAGGAAGAAAAACCAAGATGAAAATTTCTTAGTCGTTTAGAGCATTGATTATTCTTGTTCGGGCTTTCTTGGATACATGTGTAGCGACACCAAGAAGTGAAATCATTTGCTTCGCCGTGTACTCCTAAATATAATAGGCGATTAATACAGGAAGCACAAGTGCTGGGAAGAGCCCCGATAAGAGATTAAACGACAGTTACCTTGGCTGAGTCAGATTTTTGAATTAGATGGGTGCTTACTCAGGCTTTGGTAGTTGAAAAAAAACTTGCCGAGTGTTTGGTTATCCACTCCTCCAACCCGTTTTCAGGAAGATAAAATGCTTTGATATATCCATCGACAAAGGCAGTGTGTGGAACCGGATGAAGATTACATAGCGGCTCAAGCTTAAACAAAAGTGTAAGCGCATTCACACAACGTTTGGTGCACACCTTCAGTAATAGGTGCTGAAAATCCAACTGCATCAGCGCACGACCTTCAGTTGAGCACTTTCCTCCTTCGCAGTAGCTGCAGCAAAAAAAAAATTAGAAATACAAAATCTCTAAAACCTCTAAGCTTCACCCTACCCTTGCACTAACGCTTTGAAAGTGTAATAGATTGTTCTGTCCCATAGAAAAATTCGTATAGATTCACTAAGATTGAAACATCCAGCAATGTGATCCAGACGAAGTGCGAAAGCCTCAAAATCCTACAAAGGCATACTATATACAAAATGACGAAGTCATATGATTGCACTCACCTTGACAAGAAAGTCGACGTAATTGCTATGTTGAGTTTGCAATTCGTTTATGTCCCACTTTGTGTTTGAAACTGCCGCAATAAGAACAGGCAATTTCAGAGCACGGCTTGCAACGCAATCAAACACCATGAGCCGTGTCTCCGGCACAACAGAAACTATCTAAAAACGCTAGGTGTAACCTCAGCTCTTCGTCATGAGGTAGACTCATCTTAAAGAGAAGCAAAGAAAACTATTACCTTTGCGTAAAACTCGTCTAGTTGTCTCAGCGTACTTTCATCTGTTGGACATGTCAAAGATTCCATGACTGGGCGAACAAGGTCTAGTTGGCGAGCTACGAATTCCCTTGAGCAAAATAATGCAACAAAAAACATAGCAAACTTCAGAATAAAAACTAACAAGGACTCAACGCCTACGACCCGTTCGACCGCTCCGAATAATTCGTCCACGTGACTCAAATTTAATCCTGAACATGGTGTTGGCGTAGTGAGTCGTCCCAAGTCCTCAAATAGCTCATGTCAATCTAGACTTACAAGATAAAAACAGCTCGTACCACGGCATGATCATTTCCATTTCCTAGTAGACGTAGCTCGATATCTTCAAGAACATATTTTATCCTAAGAGAAGTTTCCATGTTATCTGACCCGTCTGATCCAAAAAATAGACATATCTAAACTAGCTTTGTATTTGGAGAATGAAGGTAATGTGGAAACACAATAAGCCTACTTACAGAATAAAAGAAATATTCGAATAGCTGGGTAAGGGCAGGCACAGAATGCTCAGCTATCGAGGATAACAGTGACGTCATGCGCATATATCTTCCTATAAATAAAAGTCTTTGATAAAATTGCGCGAAACTTGAAAAATAAATCAGTCCTATGAATGCTAAGGGAACATAATCGTTTTGCTTGGAAGATTTATCAGATCTGCAAGAACAACGCACCGAAAAACCGCAAGAGCGTGAGAGCTGTGTTGCATAAATTCGGAGCTGCTTCAATTCTAGAAATATACAGCATTGTTCGAAAACTTTATGAGACAAATGCCAAATTACGCACTCCTCCTCCTCACTGCAATTGCCTTCCTCATGTGGGTCATCCCTATCATCAGTCGACCGTGAGTTGCGCTGAGATTGCCTTTTTGACTATAAATGAAGAGAACTCATTTACTTCTCTTTTATAAGGTAACGTTGAAAAGGTGAATTCACCTCCAGTTCAGTGCTAGCAAAAGGATTGACAAATTGAGCTGGGATCGGTTTGAAACCATTTTGCTCCGCTGTGTCGCTAGTAGATGCTGTCGAATCTGCTTTCTGCTTTCTCAGCTCCTCCAAGAATGAGAAGTCCTTAATCAACCTTTTCAATTATAAAAAGTGCACCTTGAATGAACACAAACCTGAAGGTCGAATATGGTGAACTGCGGTGATACCGGACATATGGTAAAGCACTCATTCTCCAAGAACATGCGTAGTTCTTCCATTCTTTCTGCATGGTAGCGGGTAAAGTATGATCCTGCTTGCTTTTCCAATGATGCATTTAGTTCATTGGACGCATGAGAGAAGTATGTGCGACCAAAGCATCGGAACCTATAATCAAATATATGGTAAACTGTGTGGTAATGCACTAAGTAGCAGAAATAATCCAGTAAATGAATCAGTATTGGAATGACCTGTTCGTCATGTCCACAATATCAAGAAGTTGATCGAATTTCAAAGCCGAGAAGTCTTGGCAGCATAGTAATGAGTTCATTTGCATCAGAGCTACCCGGAAAACGCTGTGCATGGATGACGCCATATGATTTGCAACAACTCCCAACATGGCTCAAATAAGTCTATGCAAGTCTGCTAAGGTGGAAAAAAATACTTACAATCTTCGCCATTGTTGCTCATTCGCCTTTGTTCGTCATCTTCTGTGTGAAACCGCAGAATGTAGTGGTAAATACAGAGAATTTTGCACATGACGTAGCCGAGTTCTCTAACAGTGGGGACAACTTGCTCCCTGCTGATGCGCTAAAACTGTAGCAATCATGCAACGTGAGTTTTCAATTCAAAAATGACAAGTGGATGAAGGTGACCTGACGCACCTCACATAGATGCTCGAAAGTAAAATCGCTAAGATTTTTTCTACTATCATGACATCCTCCACATTTTTCCTCGACGATTTTGCGCGCGGACTTTCTCAGCGTAGTGACAAAGTGTCCGATCAGCTTCTTCGAAGCTAGCTACAAAATGACATTCAGTCAAACAGATGCAAGTTCGAGAACAGGGATATATATAAAGACGAGACATGTAAGAAAGCCTGGACTCATGCCCTCGTAGGGGCTTACCTCCGCTTTATTCAGCATGATATAGGCCGAGTAAACAGAAGCATAACGGTCTTGATCGAAGACCACAGTATGGCTGGCCAAAGCGTTGTCAAGAGCATTTTCGATGAGATTGGTGGTACCGACCAACTTCGTCATCAGGTCACTAAACATACCAATAAATCGTATTCTAATCAAATGCAAATAAAAAGTGTATTACCTAACACAACAGAAATGCCTGTAAGTATTAGCAGCCTCTTTTGCCTCCAAACAGATCCTGATAGCTAGAGGAAAATTCCCATCCTAATGAAGATTGTCTTTCTGGTCAAACTCAAAAAGAAAACAACACAGAAATCATCCGCACCTCTATGGAATCTTTGAGGTGAAATTCGGTCTCATACAGGGTCTTTATTATGCGCAAGGTGTACATCAATGATTTGAGCATCCGCTTCTTCTTCTCATTCGCGAGTATAGAAAGGGCATTTCGGCTCTTGTAGTGTGCACCAGCAAGCGCCCTGTATAACAAAACAGCTGAATAGCGCATAATAATCTATAGCAGATTTCGGCTGTGCAAACACAAAGTGAAACAAGTAGACAATTTCTGTACCGTCGTATAGTCCGAACGAGAACTACCAAATCTTTCAAACTGTCTCTTATACTATCCATGTCATCAAGTTGAGACCCATATGATGGCGACTGAAAGAATGATATTAGCTCTAATCTATAAAAAAGACGAGATGATAGTAAATTAAAAAGGGATCCTTGATCAATAAAAGCAAGAATAGTGAGAAAAAGGACGGAGAACAGACACGGAAGAAAGGATGAAAAACAAGCACCTTCTCCATGATCAAAGTTGATATTCTCCTCGACACTACTTGTAACTGTGATTTTAGTCGCAGTCGTTCACGAACTACGTCTTCTAAAACCAGGTCAATTCCGGCAAGTTTCTGAAAAAGGAACAGCTGTATGGTAGTCATCACAACAACAACAACAACAAAAAAGAGTAAGATGAAAATTTCCTTTATGAGCTGATGTATTCATCCGTATACTTAATCAGTACAAGAAAAAACTTCTCCAAGAAAGTAAATCACCTTTAGTAGATCAGATCTTGTGAGCGTTACTCATCTAATTTTTTGAAAACTTCAAAAAACGAGAAATTACTGCAGTCTCCAACGTCATTGCAAAAATTACCTTCAGTTCATAATCGATGGCATCAAAATCGTCCTCTATGAAGTAAGCTGCATCGATACTGTCAATAATGTCATCGTCACTCACTGGAGCAGAGTTTTTGACGTTTCGAACGGGAATCTAGAAAGGAACAGGTAAGGACCAAAAAAGAAAGTGTCAAAAGACAAGGGAAGTCCGTTGAACGCACCTTCTCCGCTAACTCGGCACTAGATTCTTGGCCACAGCTGGACGAAGCACCTTCATATGGCGATGGTACAAAGTCGGTCATATCATCCATCTGGATAGAGCGTGATACATAAAGTCAAGAGAAGCCGAAGAATAACTCACGTTGACATCTTCCGAAAAAGAACTGCCAAGATCCTTTAATGTCTTGGTCAAGGAACTTTTCAGCTTCTCCATGATGGACGTTCCAGTTCTGTGATTTTGCTACTACCTCCTCATACCAAGAAAGGGATATTCATTACAGATGCCTAAATTACATCCTCCTTCATGATTTGATCCGCATAAAAGTGATTGAGTGATGAGGACCCTAGATTACTGAGTAGCAATCAATCGCGAGCAATTTCGAGACCAACAGCAAATTTTCGAATTCGTTTAGATAATAGTTGAACTGAGACTGGTTTTACCCAAATCATTCAATTGAGCTCGGATTGCCGTAAATCATGAGTGACCGCGACTACAGAACGCGCATATTACAGCGCCTAAAATGAATTACCGGCATTGTCCAGCTGCGCATTCATGAGCAACCTTGGGTTCAAAAGCAGTGTCCGGGCAAAAACTCGATTTTGAGATTTTGTGCTTACCCGAACCTATTCGCTATGCTGAATCCGAAAATCCACATCGGAGGGCGCAAAAACGACGAAAAAGGGCTCTAACACTGAAGGGAAATCAGCAAGTGGGCGGGGTCTTCCCCACTATGAATTTACGCTTCCAGCTTCCAGAGCAGTTTTTTCGAATCCTTTAGCCGCCCTGACATCACTACTGATCAAGTGCAAACGAATGACTTGAAACCGGAATCAAAAAGATCGCCCCCGAAGCTGGGAGGGTGAATTCAAGTGGGGAAGACCCCGCCCCTTGCTGATTTCCTTCCAGTGTTAGAGCCCTTTTTCGTCGTTTTCGGCTCTCCAATGTGGATTTTCGGATTCAGCATAGCGAATAGGCCCGGGTAAGCACAAAATCTCAAAATCGGGTTTTTGCCCGGACACTGCCTTTAAAGTTTATTCTAGGATGAATACAGTGTTGGAATTCAACTTAGGATGGATGCGATTGTATTGGGGTTGACGTCTTACTTGAAGTTGCGGCGTCTGCGTCAAAGTCCTAGCTAGCTATTCAGACTGAAAGATTATTGGGGACTCAGATAGCATCCTAATGTGATTTGCACATCACGGAAGATTTGAAAGACGATGCTATGATGTAGCTTGAGAACAGGATAGTGGGCCTCGATTATTGAATTTTTTTAATAAAAGGTAACTGTGATAGTATTGGAGTTACAGCACAGGGTAACGCTTTACATTCCATTGAATTGAAAATTACCTGTGGGACGTGCCACAAGTTCGTTCTAAACGCGCTGTCCAGAAACAGTACCCATTTTTAATATTAGTTATATACTCAAAGCTGTTGTATCGTCAATTCATGGTACGCAAAGACTGGGGGCCGTTGCGTACGACGTATAGGCTGCTGCATAACGAAGGCGCAATATCTTCAGGCGCGAACGCGGCTTTATTAGCCGCAGAGCGCATGAGGAGCGGGATCTATAACGGTGAGGATACGCGCGCGTCGCGTTCGCGCACACTCAACTTATATAGCCATTGCGCCTTGATCATGCAGCAGCCTTTAGATAGTTGTCCATAGGAGAGCAACAGACGGTGAGAGGGACGAAGGAGCGCTCGATCACGGAGCGCCGACATGTCCGCAGTCTTTGCGTGCTATGAATCGTCTACTACTATGAATCCTCTATAAATATATTGTAGGTGACAGTTTGATAATGCGAAGCTTGCCTTCAGCACTTTCCTCAATCAACTTTTTGCGAATTGCGGGGAAGACTACGGCTTCTTCACTCCGAAAACCAACATCCTCATAGTTTCATTAGGATATCAAAAAACTATGGCACTATCCGGAGTCAAGCAACAGATCCATAGGCGATTCGTTGACCGCACGGACTGCTCTAACGCTGCGGATCACGCGCGGCCTGGCTGATTTGTAGCGAGAGCACGACTTGGGCAATGACGAATTTGCACTGGGACAAGCGTTTTACCTCGCGGCGCGTGCTCCGCAGTGTCGTTCAGTCCGTGCGGTCAACGAATCAACTGTACGTCGTTGATAGCTAGCTTACGTCGCAGCTTTAGGTAGATTACACAATGTACAGGGTGTCCCAAAAGTCTTGTAGCCTAAGTTTGCATCGCTATAACTTATGAATCACCGGTAGCTTCGATTCCAAATTTATGCCACAGATTGCTGCAATCATCCTTTACAATATACATTTATGCAAAACTGGAATGATTTCCATACGTTTCTGAGAAAAAATTATTTAATCATGACTTTCTGAAAGCCGCAGAAATCAATTTTCTCTGGCTTACAGTTTATTCCACAGCTTAAAGTACCTGGAACATTCTAGTACATCAGGTCCACATTGTAGAGGAGGCTTTGCACCATTATCACTGTAGTAGTACACTCACAAATTTATTCGATGTCGATACAGGCTGCGAAAGTTTGGAAATTTTGAGTGCGTGCCACGGCCATACATCTTTAAAGTTAATTTTGAATCTGTAGCGCTAAAATAGTCACTGGATCGAGAGTAGTATTCTCCCCATATGACTTCTAGATTGAATTTTAGTTCAACTTGGAAGACGGACTAGCTTTCAAAACACTTCGTAGCCGATTTTCTGTTTTGGTTTCCCGCAAGTGTGTCCAAAATCTCCAGCGTGAGGTCTACGCATGCCTGCATTAAAATTCCTATAATTTCAATTCTAGATTTTACGAAAATTTTTCTTCATAGTATGTTGTAGCTGAGAGCTTGCTCTATCATGCCGCATACTTTCTAAGCGATAGGAACTATTCCCGTAAAGGCGTGACGAAATTGATAATGACCATCTGCGCGCCGCGGCAGTGATAATCGCCAACAGTTTGAAGGCTTCCGTTAGCAAGGAAAACTTTTACAAGTTGAGTATTGCGTTGCATTTGTTATTGTTTGAGTAATGTATGCTCCAACTTTTATATCCCTATGTTGTTCCGTAACGTTTTTATCAGGTAAGATGTTAGGCTACAAGACTTTTGGGACACCCTGTATATTACACTGAGGTGGCAATTATTTGTGAGAGGTGCCACAAGTTCGTTCTGCACGCGCTGTTTACTGTAGGTGACAGTCCGCAGATGCAGATGCGAAGCTTGCCTTCAGCACTTTCCTCAATCACAAACCTTTTGGACATTGCGGGAAGACTATGGCTTCTTCGTTTTAAAAAACCACGTCCCCATAGTGTCATTAAAGTATCAAAAACTATGGCACTATCTGGAGTCAGGCAACAGATCTACATCGTTGATAGATAGTTTATGGCGCAGTGATAGGACGCTACAGAAATATGTAGATCAATTATAGATAGATGTTCATGTACAGTTTACCGTAGTCGCAAAAATTTAGGTAACACGAGTGGTGGTCTTTAGCAAGTCTCTTTTTCTTCATTCGCTCATACTCAAGACCTTTTGACGGTTCTCATGTAGGTACAGGTAGTATCAGGCTGATAGCCGATCTCTTCAACTTGTTAGCTCATCCACGTGGTGTAGAATTACTTGGTGTACGCTTATTCTCATTCCACAACGAGTTCTTAGCGGTATGGAAGTTCTCAAGGTCTCTGCACTATCTTCTAGAAGCTGTTGTTCCAGAAAGATCTCCTTGGTGTGTACGAGCTCTCCACGATGTCGACAATACCTGTCGAGGTAGCCGAAGAGGCACTCGAAAAGAAGGTCGAAGCGATGAAGATCGTCGATGGGAACAATATGGAGGTCAAGAAGGAAACCACCGACGGCAAGAACGAACGTCGCGAGCGTAAGGTGCGCAACTTAACTAACTATAAACAAAGACCTTAGAAGTCCATGTTTTTGAGTGAAATCAAAGAAGATGTGCTCTGCTTTCTACCCCTGAGAAATTTACAAAAAAGTAGTACATCATCTTCTGTACCATAGGGGTTGCAGGTCTTCGATGGTGGCGTGACCTTAAAAACACTATCTGTAAAGTTTTGCTCCTCTCTTCACTGTCAAAAAATCTTTATGAAAAACAGCGACGTTTTGCCAAAGCGTAGACCAGAGTTGCTCGTGTCAGTGCGATTCGGGGGGCAGGCGTTATGGAGCAAAGCAGCGCCGCATTCCCCTGCGGTATATCCTGAGGGCCAGTTGCGTTGCGTCGCCTTTAATTGCAACCGCAGGAGTACGCCGCTCCTGACAACGAACTGAGCCATTCCCTATTGCTACGTCTTGAGAAGATGTCCAAACTGCATGAATGCAATAAAGGAATTTGAAAACGAAAATTAGATAGATTTTACGGATGCAAAGGCTGAATAAAAAATAAAAGACTGATTTTAAGTGTAACACGAGAATTAGTAAAGAAAAGGGACAGAAAATTTTCTTTAGTAACTTTCCAAGCTTTTACTTCCCCTTGGATGGTACTCTCAAACACTTTCTCCTCAGAATCTATTTTTTCATCCTCAAAATTCGTTTAACTTCCGCATTTTGGTCTCTCTACTAAAGAAAAATTTCGCGAATGACTCAACCCCCTGAGTAACGCTAGCTCCTCTGCGGATGCAATTAAGGGCGACACAACGCAAAGGACCCTTAGGATATACCGCAGGCGAATGCGGCGTAGCTTTGCTCCATAACGCCACGCCGCCGTGCGATTCCAGCGTGCAGGAACCTCTACCAAGCGCGTCACTAAGTTCTAGCACGGCGCTGGAACGTCCCCGGCACAGCGGTACCACGCTGGTAACTTGATACGCTGTCTGAGCTGAGAGGAGATCATTCTATTACCATCTTATCTTTTTCGGAGGAACCTACCCATAACTGATTAGCGAAACTGCGTCAAAAGCTGCCTCTTGCGAAATCACGTGTCAACGCCGTGCTAGCGCCGTGGAATAGCCCACGTGTCCCTTTTGTTAAAAAAACTTTCCGACATGGCACTGGCACGGCGATGACACAATCAAATTTGGGCGCAATCAGAACTTTTTCGAGAAGATTGGGAGAGGAAGGATTGCTAATTGGTGAAACAATTTTTTGTTTTGAGAATTTTGAGTGATATGAACTGCTCTTAATCAAGAACTTTATTATGCTGAGTTGTAGTTCGCCCGCATGACGGATGAGGAACGCCGCCGTGTTTGGGAGGAGGAACAAAAGACAAAGAAGGTATAGCCATTTTATGCCTATGTTTATCGAGTTGCGGCTGCTCATAAAATAACATGATTTAAAACTTGGCTGGGTAAAGTAAAGAGCTTTTTTAGGTTGTAGAGACTGGGCTTAAAGGCCATGTGAAGTGGTATTCCGTTCTTGGCCATTATGGCTTTATCTCACGTTCGGATGGTAAACCAGATATTTTTGTGCATCAGGTAAGGTTCTGTGTCACACCTGTCTTCAGCTCATTTATAGTATTGTCACGAAGATATCTGCAAGCATATTAGTTTAGGATGTATGTGAGAGATCATTTCCATATGTTACAGAGCGCTATTGCAAAATCACAAACGGAGAAGTTCTATCTGCGCACTTTGGCTGACGAAGAAGAAGTTGAGTTTGATATCGTAGAAGGACGCAAAGGTCCTGAAGCTTCGAATGTCACTGGACCAAATGGTACAAATGTCAAAGGATCCAAGTAAGTTCCACGCTTCATACTGGGGTAGCGAATGTCAAGAAGTTTAGAGAACTGTAAGAAGGTTTTTTTCAGATATCAGAGAGTTCTCCTGTATCGTTTCCGTCCTAACAGACGTCGTGTCCAGCATGATGAAGACGGTGAGAAGAAGGCTGACGGCGAGAATCAGACCAACGGACAAGGCGAAGAGAAGAAGACTGCTCGAGGACGAAGTGAGTTTCCTCATCTAACATAGATGATAAACTACGGAAGATCTTCTTCCTAACTGCTAATTTTTCTTGATACAGGGAACGGCCGCCGTTTCCGCGGACGTCGTATGCGACAGCAAGCTGCAGCCGAGCAGAAAGTTGAGAACCACACAGCTGCCGAAGGCGAAGAGCACGCAAAATTAGAGGAGACTGGCACCAACCTTGGAAAGCCAGGTTTCCGCCGTCGCGGCAATTACTACAACCGTCGTTTCCGCAGTCAGAACAAGAATTTGCCTAAACAGGAGGGAAACAACGAGGATGTGAGTTTCTTAGAGTGTCGGGCATCATCACGAGACTTCATCGCCTCGCTATTCTCTCGATAAGCAACTGTTACAAGTGCATTTTGCCCAATCATCTTGCACTTCGCTTGTGATAGTTAATTGCAAGCAGTCGCGTGAAAACTGTCGTGAAAACCGAAATGCAAGGTGATCCGCATGCAATGGACTCGTAACAGTTGTCTCGTCGGGAGAGTCGCGAGGCGATGAAATCGCGCGATCCATGTCCGTATGTTCGGAGAAAGCAAGGATGTAGCAAGTTTCATGTTTGTAGGTGAACACTAATTCCTCCAACGGAACCGGCGCACAATCCGAGGCAATAGCTCCTGCACACGACGAAGATCCCAAGGCCGGAGTGCGTCGTCGCACTGAGTCGAACACGAGCGCAAAAGACGCACAGCTAACATGCGATGCAAACAATCTGGGTGGAGGTGATGCCAATTCTGCCCTGACTTCTGTGAATCCCGCCATGTAAAGAGCATCCCGGTCCATCCCTTTCACTCGCTGTACTGACAGGGTGCATAACTGGCAACGACGCTTTTGCGCAACACTTCCCCAACGTTGCCAGTATATTATGTTCGTTTACTATTGAATTGTTGCCTTGTTCCACTGTACCGGTGCATTTTATTGTTGGTTTTCATTCTGTATAAACTATGTAATTGTATTCTTACTCATATTGTTCATTAGAACCCTTACAATAAACTGCATGCACGTGTGAAGATGGCATGAACACGCTGAAGGGTCACTACGTAATAATCATCGTTTTCTGTACTCTCCTTTGTAGCAGATGATAGATGAGAAGATGCCCGAGATTGAAAATGCCCCTTGTGCATTTCAGTACGGGACGTGTTTTCATGTATCATCGGCTATGATTCGTGTAGAGGCGGGGTTTTGCGAACTCAAAGCGTGGCGTTTTTTGATAGCGAGTGAGTACGAACAACAATGCAATGACGTGAAGGTTCAACAAGTTCATCCTTAAAATCAGGGAAAGTTCGCAACCCGCCTCTACACGAATCGTGGAGACGATCATACATCGAAACGTCCCGAATTCTTTGTTCGCGCATAGATTTCGCCAAAACAAATTCCACAAATCAGACTGTAGGCATACCTAACACCATCACGTGTAGCATATCAACGGTCTCAAGACGATGTTTTCGTGTAAGTTACATGATTACATATGCGATTCTGAGCAACATCCATAAAGCAACGAGGCAAATGTTTCCCCGCGACAAGGTTCAATACATGATCGCCATTATCATGAAAATCCGCCTCGTTCAGGTTGCTGCCAATTCGTCTTACGTGAGTTCTGTCTACTGAAATGTTTTGCTTGCAAATAGTGTAAATTCAACATTTCCAGTTTATGTTGTCATACAAAAATTCGGCCTTTGAATGTGTTTACGTTTTCATTTTGTTTTTTCTGCTTATACAGAAGGAATATCGTACAGAGTAAGTGGATCTCATGGTAGAACCAATATTTGGCGCTTTTCGGAGCATCGTTCTGATTGTGAGATACTGCGGATTTAATGGGAATTTTGCTTTTCCAAGCTTTTAAAAATCTGACTTTTGTCGTAGACCAAGCGTGAAACTAGGTGTTGCTGTCAGAGGCGACGCCTTAGAAGAAAGGGCGCTTACAAGGGAAGGATAATCGGTCGAAGTGGCCATTTGGAATGAGCTGTATATTAGGAAACCGTCCTCGGTAAGACAAACTCAAAACTATATTCGCTAGGTGCCGAGCGGTTTTGTGTGGGGAGTTACAAGGCCATTTTCCTCCGGCGCAGCCGGCGCACCCAGTGATGGGCGAGGCGCTAGAAAAACCCAGCAGTGTGGCAGTGGCGCAGTGGCAAAACAGTGGGTTACGAACAGGGTCAAGCAAGGGGTGTGGCACACGATCGCTGGTTACGACCCCCCCCCCCCTGATTGCTGACCCCCCCCCCCCCTGAACTATATACCTAAGATAGCATTACCAGAGTTGAAAAAGAGGTCAGGCACAAGTCTTTCGACCCCCCCCCCCCCCCTCCTCCCATGAAAGCCCTCAAACGACCCCTTCTTCCTGCTCTTAACCTCTGAACCTCAAAGTGTGACATTCTGGAGGACGCCACCTTTTTCTAGAGAGTTTCCAGATTTCTGAGAGCTGTACGCGCGATTTTCTGTGACTGCACTTTACAATCACATGTAATTTGACGGCTGATTTTGATCTGAATGTGCATATTGAAAGGACCATAATTTTCTTTTGGGTGGGGCGTTCGGCTCCGAATTTTCAACGTAGCAAGAAGAAGCTATGTGCTCAATACTCGTACCAGCAATGGAGCGCTTTCTGGATTTTGAAGGCAAGTTAAGGGGGTGCGCACCCCATTAACTATATCAAAAAAACATTTTTAGCGGACAGTAATTATATAAATCGATAGCCTAAAACTTGTAGATTCCATAGGACTGTTTGGAGCCTGATATGTCTTCTTAGCTCTAAGTAATATTTGGTGAAAGCACAGCGATCAAAAGCGAAAAATGGGAAAACGAGATTTTTGTTGGCTTCTAATTCCACAGTTTGCAGGTCTTCTGAAGCGGGATTCCTGAGGTGGACAAAGAAGAAGTAGTGCTTTGTCTTGAGTGCAAAAATGGATAGCTAGTTCGCCTTTGAAACAAAATTAACCATGTTGGATTTGACCATTTCATTTAGGTAGCCTGGTATCTTGAATCTTCAGAATTCGCTCACACTTTGTCTACAGGAGTTATTTGACATGCTACTTATGGATAGGATACGAATATCATGTTATCACTATTATCAGATTACCCAACTACGACCCCCTCCCCTTTTGACTCCTCAATACGACCCCCCAGGTGTCTCGTGCCGCACCCCACGCTTGACCATGGTTAGAGTTCGAGTCCTGTTGCTGCTACTTTGTTTTGCAGTTCTGTAAAAAGTCTATTGGGTGACAGTAAACGAAAAATACTCATTTGTAGGCAGTTGAAACAAGTTATTTACTGCAAAAAAGTCACTGTTTCTACAATAAGCTATAATATGAATGATAAATAAATGATATATTAACATGTATGGAATACAACCACAAAATGTTCAAAGCAGAAGAGCTTTTTCACAGCGCGCGCACTTGCAAAATTGCAATCGATTGCAATCAGCAGCAATTATTGTAGAAATAGTGACTTTTTTGCAGTAAACAGCTTGTTTCAGCTGCCTACAAATGAGTATTTTTCGTTTACTGTCACCCAATAGACTTTTTACAGAACTGCAAAACAAAGTAGCAGCAACAGGACTCGAACCCTCGGCCATCTGCTTCGTAACCCACTGTCTTGCCACTGCCCCACTGCCGCACTGCTGGGTTTTTCTAGCGCCTCGCCCATCACTGGGTGCGCCGGCTGCGCCGGAGGAAAATGGCCTTGTAACTCCCCACACAAAACCGCTCGGCACCTAGCGAATATAGTTTTGAGTTTGTCTTACCGAGGACGGTTTCCTAATATACAGCTCATTCCAAATGGCCACTTCGACCGATTATCCTTCCCTTTTAGATAACCAAGGCAGGGTTCATACTGAGCCGCACAAAGCGGCACAGTTCCAGCACAGCGCTCGAACAGTGCTCGAACTGTGCTGCATGCGCAGTTGGAGTATTTTGACGGTTTCTGACGGGTTTTATTCTGGGTTTCTCTCATTTCGGGCCTTATCCCTCCACCCCGCTTTCCTTTTGATGAGTGGAACTCCGAGCGCAAAGCGGGGTTGAGGAATAAGCGCTGTTCTGCTTTGTGTGTCCGATTATGCGTGTTGTTCCGCTCGTTCATGTCTTTTTGTTTTATACTTCCATAAAAGTATTCTTTTGTTTCCAGGAGGCCGCTGCAATATTTTCGCAGGCATTTTTCTTGAAGGAGAGCAAAAATAGTGCAGAAGAGCAGGAAATTCCATCAATCTGTTGGCCACTTGTGGGGTCCTAGCCCCTTTTCGTTTTCATTTCATTGTTTTTTCGTTCTTTTTTACCCCGCTTCCCTTTTTTTGTTTAGCGCTTCGAACTTGAAGCGGGGTAGAAGAAAGAGCGAAAAAGCAACGAAATGGAAAAAAAACGCGGCTGAGAGGATACATGAAGCACAACCCGTTCATTCTTTTACCCCGTATCAAGTTCGAAGCGCTAAACAAAAAAAGGGAAGCGGGGTAAAAAAAGAACGAAAAAACAATGAAATGAAAACGAAAAGGGGCTAGGACCCCACAAGTGGCCAACAGATTGATGGAATTTTCTGCTCTTCTGCACTATTTTTGCTCTCCTTCAAGAAAAATGCCTGCGAAAATATTGCAGCGGCCTCCTGGAAACAAAAGAATACTTTTATGGAAGTATAAAACAGACATGAACGAGCGGAACAACACGCATAATCGGACACACAAAGCAGAACACCGCTTATTCCTCAACCCCGCTTTGCGCTCGGAGTTCCACTCATCAAAAGGAAAAGCGGGGTGGAGGGATAAGGCCCAAAATGAGAGAAACCCAGAAGAAAACCCGTCAGAAACGGTCAAAATACTCCAACTGCGCATGCGGCACAGTTCGGGCACAGTTCGAGCACAGTTCGAGCGCTGTGCTGGAACTGTGCCGCTTTGTGCGGCTCAGTATGAACCCTGCTTTAGTAGCACTTTCTTTGTACTGGCGCATATTCAGACACCTTTGTGCAATCGCACACTATGAATTAACTTCACGGCTAAAGTAAACAATTTGCTTCTCATTTGATTTTTCTGTGATTGCAAAAGCTCTTTTCTATAAAGCCGTAACTCCTAAAATGTTTGAATTTATTGCGTGAATTTAGATAATCCGTCTCAAACAACCTCAAGATGTCAATCCTACAGAAGATCCAAGATATTGAAGATGAAGTGAGTCGCGGTAAATTCTTCTTGTTATCGTCATTTATGAATCGAATTAATGTATATGGAGGAGATACCCTTAAGCGAATGCCGTCTATTTTTCGAATTTAGGCTTCGTATTAACCCATATTATTTTGAACTTGAAAAAAAAAACAAGTAATTTGAACTGTTCAGAATCCGACCCTCAACTCATTTGCATCCCAAGTTTGAGATTAAGGGCGATAATTGTTGGTTGTGACAGATTTTTTAGAAAAATATTTGCAGTGGAGGGTCTGTAGAAAATTTGATAGATACCTCTTTAAAATTAAATTTAAATTAAAATCGAAAATTTGACTTATTACTCAGCTAGTGATTTTCACAGCATTTGGTGCACTCATATAGTCTCAAATTTTCTGTAATTCAGATGGCTCGTACCCAAAAGAACAAAGCCACCAATGCTCACTTGGGTATGTTAAAAGCAAAACTGGCAAAACTGCGTCAGGAGTTGATCACACCAAAGGGCGGAGGTGGGAGCACTGGTGAAGGATTTGATGTTGCCAAGACGGGAGATGCACGAGTCGGCTTTGTAGGTATGTCAGTAAAGCTTTTTGCTTCCAAAGACTTGATTGCATATTGTATCCAGATCCTTTTACTATCTCTTACTTTTATTTATTTTTTCTGATCTGTGTATGTGACAGTAGGACACTACAAATAACATCTTTGCTAAAATGACGGAAAAGCGAACGGCATGTGTTTGCTGAGTATCAACACACTAAGTAATTTTTGATGAAGGCTCAAAAGTTTCACCCTGTGCAACTCCAATAATAAGTGTATACCGCAACTATTCAACTCGTGCTGTTCTCAGCAGATTTACTAGGAGCAAAACCATTTGAAGAAGCAGTTGTGAGTACACATTTGCTTATTGATGACTTGAAAGAGCATACGCGAATTGTCGACTCTAATATGGTCATATGTGTCATCATAGTGTATAGGTGGACGTTTCTGTACTGATAAGGCGGGCTTATACTGATCCGTAAGTTCCGGAACAATCCCAGCACATGGCACTATTCGAGCGCTGTGTTGGAACTGTTCCAGAACTTACGAATCAGTATGGACACAGCCTAACACATTCAAATGAGTATGGCAAAGCACAACCAGGTCGTTCATATATGACTGTTGCCGCCCGCTACATCAGTATCACCGCTGTTGTCAGCGCTATCGCTGTTACAAGTATTACTGTTCCATATGAACCATCAAAGGGACTGTCTTCCGATCATTTTAACGCGTCAACTTGAATAAGCGCCTCAAATTTGCTGGATCCAACGAGTAACAATCGAAAGGCAGCCACCATAGGTGCGATAAGGTGAGAATGACCTCTCCAGGGTGAAGGGGGTCACGGTGGTCGCAGCCCCTCCAGGGTGAAGGGGGTCAGAGGGGGTGGGAGGGGGGGTTGGGGGGGGGGGGTGAGTGAGTGCGTGTGTGAATGTGGGTGTGCAATTACACACAACGCGCCGCCAGGAACGGCATCGTTCCTTTCACAACCTCATTTGCCTTTAGTAACAGTTCATGATTAAGTGCCTTCTTACATTCACAAAAGAAAGGAATCCTAGAATCAAGAACTGAAAAGAAACCAAGGAGGGTGAAATAAAGGATATCTAGTTGAACCGCGAAAAAGGAACACGGAGTAAATTTGCAACGTGTTCAATAATTAAGAATATCATAGTGGAAATGCATATTGAAATCAAGTGTGCATCGACAAAACTAAGAGGATTCTTAGACAGTCACGAAATTCCAAAAGAAAAATGTAACTTTTGTAGATGAACAGCTAGTACATGGAGATGCTCACCATTGGAACCGTCTCATTCTCCGCTTTCAGAAAATATATAGATTGTCTGGGATCCGTTGGAAAAAGTCCATGGTGAAGGGGGTGCCTAGTGATTTCTGGAGATTTTCGAGTTTTCAACATAAAAAAATTCATAACTTCTGTAGATGAACAGCTAGTACACGGAGATGCTCACCATTAGAACCGTCATTCTCCGCTTTCAGAAAATATATAGTTTGTAAGGGATCCCTTGCAAAAAGTGCCTGGTGAAGGGGGGGGGGTGAGAATTTTATAACGGGAGTTCTCAGGTAGACGTCTTTTTACAATGGTGAAAAGGCCTCTGCCTGAGAACTCCCGTTATAAAATTCTCACCCCCCCCCTTCACCAGGCACTTTTTGCAAGGGATCCCTTACAAACTATATATTTTCTGAAAGCGGAGAATGAGACGGTTCTAATGGTGAGCATCTCCTTGTACTAGCTGTTCATTTTTTTATGTTGAAAACTCGAAAATCTTCAGAAATCACTAGGCACCCCCTTCACCATGGACTTTTTCCAATGGATCCCAGACAATCTATATATTTTCTGAAAGCAAAGGAAGAAACGGTTTCAATGGTGAGTATTTCCTTGTACTAGCTGTTCATCTACAAATGTTATGAATTTTTAATTGAATTTTCTCAAATTTTGCCTATAAATCTAAGGACATAGCTGGAAGAATGCCACGATTGCCCTTCACTTGCTTCTTGACTGTAGAGCCTACAAGTAGGTTGATAGCGTGGTCATTTTATCAGGCATAACCTTACCCTACTGTTGATTTTTTTGTCGGTTTTGGTGAAGGGGGTCACCTTGGTTTCCGGCTCAGGGGTGAAGGGGGGGGGGTGAGCAAATTCTCACACTATCGCACCTATGGCAGCCACGTTGATGATTTATATAGGATCATTTCGGGGATGGCACGATCTTATATGATTTACTACCTTTGAATGTTGCTCATTGCAACCGTTCCTGTATTTGTTACATGTTTTCCTGCTTGGAATAAATATGCGGTCTCACTCTTCCGTCGCATTCGTCGAATTGTTGCTTGAAGAACGTTTAGAAGGACAATCTACTCATTAAAGGCAGCGTCCAGGCAAGCCTGGACACATGGGGATCTCACGTGGATAGTATTTTGGGGCCTTTACTAAGCCACTGTCCAACCGGCAGCTCAGGTAGTGCTCTAACGGTTGAGATATTCCCCTCGAAACTGGACCCCGCGATCGTATTTTGCATGGATTCATGGCGCAAAGCGTGGCTGGCGCGAAACTGCCATGAATCCATGCGAATACGATCGCGGGGTCCAGTTTCGAGGGGGATATCTCAGCCGTTAGAGCACTACATGCGCTGCCGGTTGGGCAGTGCCTTGGTTAGGGCTTCAAAAGTACTTCACGTAAAATCCCCATAGGTCCAGATCTGCCTGGACGCTGCCTTTAATTGAAAGTATGAACGGAGAAAAAACTGGAAGAATGTCGTCCATTCTGTGCAAAGTGAAGACCACCAACAAAGAAGTACGTTTGTAATGAACAACGATAGCTGTGGCAACAGCAGTGACATTGGTGAAGCGATAATTCATGGCCGAACTTCAAAGAGTGGAAGTATGAAACATCGACCATTTTGTTATAATATTAAGTTCCCGATAACGGTGGTATACCGAACCTTGATGAGTCGAAGCATATAGATCAACCAGCTTGTTTCAAGGAAAATAAATCGATCTCTACTTTTCACCTACATTTGTTCTAGATCAAACATTCCTCGCGTTTTTTTATAATCTCTTACCTTCATTTGATATTAATTTCACGTTTTCCATGTTCCCACCTTCAAGATTTCGACCTATGCCACACCCAAATTACCTCCACTTCCTTTCCATCGTTGCTTTATGATTATAAATGTCAGTGAGAGTCAGTGATGCTTGCAGTCGTCTACCAATGTTTTCTCTCTTTTTTCAACGTTCCGTTGCTTCTGTCACTGACTGCCACTTTTGCTGTCCTTCGAATTCAAATTTGGTTTCTAATGACAAAGTAGGAAAACAGCTGCAGGGCTTTCTTACATGCATACAATTTCTTCCTTTGGATACAGCAGGGATCTCTCAAACTTTATGTATTTGAGTTCTCTAGCCTCCGCCTTCAGTCTGTGTCCTAGGCCTAAGTTCCTTGCATATTGTCACATAATGTTAATAACCTGGAACAATTCAAAGTCATTACACCAATTTCACGCGTACAAGGCGCACCTTTTTCGATTTTTCAAATAAGCCGCTTAGCCGCTTCACTGTATCTCGGGAAGCGATTTTTATGCCGTAAGATTCTTTCAAGCAATACTAGTGAACCAGCAAGTGAAGGTGCTGAGCATGCGCGCGCTACGGGACCGCCACGTGGTTTCCCGCTATGTGCACATTTTTAAATTGCGCTTACGATTCTTTATGTATTAGACGATTCTTTATATATTAGATAGATTAGATAGATACAGCAAGGTATGGGGTCCTTTGGTTACGAAGTCCTTCGGCGTGGTTGGCCTCGCCGATTTTGGAAAAATTTCCCCCGCGCCTTGTACGCGTAAAATTAAGGTAGTTTTATACCATACCTTGTCATCTCGAGCATTTTTTGATCTTCTGTCCCATCATTTATAAACTTCCCTCTTGATTGAGCACATGTACCTTTTTCTTACGTCGAGTGTGATCAGACGACCGCATTTGCTATCATCTTGTGTATGAGGCCTGCTATCGTTTTTCTATGCTATGATTTTTTTGCGTAGTGCGAGGTGTATTGAGCAGTGATTTAGAGACATCGTTATGAGTGGAAACAAAGTAGATGTTTTGTATGGCATTAAAAACTTTTCTTTTTGAGATTACTTGGTTTGGAAGCGCATTTTTCATTAATTTTTTCCATGAAGCAAGAACTTCTAGCATCTCAAAATTTCCAACCCACCCTATGAAACTGAGCAATTGACTGTAAAGTACAATTTTTCCCTTATAGAACTGTATGCATACATGACTCAGCTTTATACTACAAAATCACCTCTGGTCACTTTATAGTCGAAAATTTCATTTCAGTCGTATTTGACTGGCTACTATCTCAGAAAAATTTCTTATTGGAGATCAAGGACTTTTCAAAATTGAGAAGTTTTGGCTGTCAAACTTTCTCATATGAGACTGTAGAGATGTTATGGCAATGGCATACTAAATTCTCAAAGACCAGAACAATGCTATTTCTTTTACTGTATGCCGAAAAAGCGCTGTGATTTATTTTGTTGGAGAGATTATTTTGATCTCTTCATCAAGCTCCGAAGACGCTAATTTCCATGTACTTGAATGATGGGAAGTGGCTGAAGATTTGAACGTCGGATATCTTTATTACTTCCTTGTTTGTGGAAATTTCCCTTTTCACTTATCTTTCTCTCTACCTCATAATTTTGTATATCATCAGACACTTGCACGCTAGAATTTGCGAAGTCATTAACTTAGTTTCAAAACCGCATTTATGTTTATCGAACCTTTATTGATCTTTATTTTCGAAGCATTCGTAGAATGTGAGTTAATAGAACATTCAGCAAGTAGATAAATCTATAAAGCTAAGAGCGAGTGATATCGAGGCACACCGGGAGAAGCTACTGGGTCGTATCACATATAACGGCTAAATAAATGATAACGCAGTGTTTCTGCTTATCAAAAATCTTCATAATATAACTTCTAGAGTTCTATAGCTAGCAACAAAATACTATATTTCTTATGCTTCTGTAATTAATTGTCAGTAATAGAATTTTCGCCTATATTATTGCCATCTAACCACACACATATAATACATGCCATTATAATCTAATAGAAATGGCGCTTTCCTATAAACAAAGCGAGGAGAGAGACAGTTTGGAGAGAGTTGTCTCGGAGAGAACAGACATACCCATTTGCAGTGTCAGTGTCAATAAACTTGAGCTTTGGCAATTGGCAAGAGATAAGGGAAATGTTTACAAAGAGTTCAGATCTGGCTCATATCCACTAGCTGTCCGGAGGCACAGGTGTTAATTCTTCACGTAATCGTTCGTAGACATAGCCGTCCACCTCGCTATCCTGCTTCGTCAGCCGCTCGTCTTCCTCATCATCGACATCCGATTCGCTTTCCTCTGATCGAAGGTTGTTCTCTTGCAAAGGGGGCGGTTTTATTCTAGACCAGTCGTCACCTCGGATAGTGTCTTCATCATCACTGAGTTTATAGTAGACGTCCACTTCGCCTTCGCTGCTGGACCATCGGTTCAGTTCGGGGTTCCGCCGCTCTTTGGCGACGTCCACGACGATGACTTCATGTGGGTGCCCGAAACCGTTATTCTCGTTCACTGGGGATGCTCCAACCTCGCGCAGATCGAGCACTTCGTCTCCCACTCGGCTACCTCGCCGTGATTTTGGTCTATCGTCCGGGCTATCTGGCTCATCTAGAAAGGCCGTAGTCGGCTCGGCAGCAACGGGTGACTCTTCAGAGGTCATAGGAGAGTCCAGTGAGAACGAGGGAACCAGCACCAGAGCAGGAACTGGGACTTCTTGCTCATTGGCTGCTGGAGTTTGCTTTGGCTTTTCCTCGGGAGGTTCTTCTTTCACAGGTTTCACCGGGTTTTCTGTATGTTTGTACCTCTCCTCGACGATTCTTTCCTCTCGTGGAGCACTCGATCTTGGATGCGGCTCACTTTCAAGCGCCGTTTCCGAATCGAATGTTGGTTCTCTAGGCAGCTGTGATGGGTCACACATAAACATGAAACGAGCTTGGCGTTCGGTTAATACATGTGGCTCATTGCTATCGTAATTCTCTACAGGTTCGTTGATCTCACCATAAGTGGTGGGAACATTCTGCTCAGTTTTTTGCTTCACCGCTCCGTTTTTAGATGGTTTTCGTTGACAAGCGCCATAGTTGGGAATGGCATTGACTGTTGCGAGACCGTTGGCCGCATCTTCAGCAGCTTTTCGCTCTCGCTTTCGTTTTCGGGCATCTCTGAAAGAGTTTTTATAGTTTATTAAAAAGTTTGTTGCTAGTAGGTGTGAGTAGTCATCAGCATACCTTGGGATTAGAAGGAGTTAGAAGGCTGAAGCGAGCGCTGCGGGAGTTTGGCACAACCTCAACCACAAGTACGTAAACATGCACACATACACACGACACTCAACTCAAGATCTTGAAATTGAATTTCCATGAGAGTGTGTATTACCGCTAAGCTCGCCCAATTTTCCCTTCTTACTCAACTTTTCCTTCGCTTTGAACCTCTGGAAAGTCGGCTTGCATAAATGCATTGGACCTTTGGCATATAAGCTGGATTTTCTAGAGGCAGTTTCCCGGCAAAACTAAGGTTATTGAGATTTATTGCGTTAATAATGCATATAATGTTCTCCAACTGCGATCGCACTGGTGCGGACTCAAAATAATGAATTCTTTTCCTGACCTTTTTGTGCGTTCTCAACTTCATTGTTGAGTTCAGCACGGCGAAAGCAAAAAGGGCACGAAAAAAAAGTGTTCTGAAACCAGCACGGAATCTGCCCTTATGCTCCCAAGCGTGTGAAATTCATTCCAATTGTTATGCTTTTCCTCAAGGAAGTTCTGCCTTGGTACATGGTAAACAATCGCAAATCTGGCCTAACACAAGCAAAGTCATTGATTAAATTGTACGAGACGCGTAAAGTTAGGACTGCACTGGGCGAATGACAAGAAAACAACGAGCCGTCTCCGAATTCGTAAACAAATAGTGAGATTTTTCGAAGTGAACGACACGAGACAAGACAAATGACGAAATTGCACAGAATACATGGTCTGGAAGCTTGACGTTTCATTTTTAAAAGTGCATTTACAGCTAGAACATGCAAAATGATTTGCTGTGTATCATTCTTTGTTAGCATTGAAATGCATGCAGAAATGCAGGAAACCCGATAATTCCATCAGTTTCAGAGGGAAAAAACAATGCCTTACCTACACAATCGTATCGCTCCGATTATATAGCAGATAGCAAAGAATGCTCCAACGACTGAGAGAATGTAGATGAGTTTGGTGTTGTCGGTATCAGCTGGTGATAGGTGACGTCGTATTCGAGAGACACGAACACTGTCCAGCTTGATTCCTCCTAATATTCGGGCTAGTGGACCGGCTTGACTTCCAAGAATGTATTTCACCTAAACGGATGGATTGTTGATGGAGAGGAATTGATACTGCAAGCGATTGGTGATAGCTAAGATTGTGTTTAGAGTCGTCTGTGCTAGCGCCATGCCAGTTATGCCAGGATATCGATCGACCGACGGCGCTGGCACTGAGCTAACACGGCCCTGGCTCACAGGTTTGGAAAATGAGGTGGTGACAGCTAAGCAGTCTGCGTCTACAGTTGCCCTTGCTAGCTTCGTGACAGCGCCGCGCTGGCGTTTACATGGATGCGCCCCGTATTGTTTGATAGATGGCGCTGCCACGCTAGCACAATGCTGGCTCACGCAACCCTAGGTGCAGTATAGACAGTCTAACAAAATGCGGGCAATTGTGCAAAACCTTTTTTTCGCTATTGATTTTGCATGGTCTAACAAAAAAAAATACTATGAGGCTCATATAGTGCCTCGGCAACGCCAACACATCAAGATCGAGAGCGCTTTTTTTTCAAGTTTTGGGCCCTGTAGCTATTTTTCGACACGTTTTGTCGGCAACGCAAGAGTAATATATTATTCGTCATAACTACTAAAGGCTATTTTCAAATAAACGAGGTTCAATGATGAAAGATGCTACGCGTTCGCACCCACCTTGCAACATGTACCGACCGTCTTCGTCTCAGAGATCAGGATTTAGACTGTACTACACTTAAAGCCTTACCTTGACCGGGTCGATGATCATCTGTTCATTGAGTGAACCGACATTCTCGGACTTGGTAATGGCGAATAGTATGCGAGTGACGTTGACTGGTTCTCGCTCGACTCGTAACAGCACGACGTTGTTCTGAGTGAGAAGCGGTTCAGATTCATCATCAGCCGCATATAGCACGGACTTGTCGTCGTCGTCGTCTGACCGCGATGCATCGGAAACAGTCTGCAATGTGCAGCACGGACACTGTTGTTATGTGCTGCTAATCTCTGTGCTCATATATCTCGTGTCTTGTCGATTCGCTATCGCTTCTGAGCGCATCTAGCTTAGCCCCAGCTTATCTAGACGAAGGATTAATCGGAATTGGAGGATAGCTGTTGATTGCGTGCTTTTATTTCGTTAAAAAATGTGAGCATACTGAGATGCTCATCGAAATTTTGGGTGAATGTTTGGGCTTGCGAGAAATCAGAGCCTAAAGTGCCCCGCTCTCAGCTATCCACTAGGATTGATATATGATATTCGAGCTGTTCCCTCCACCTTAATTCAGCAAGAAAGAAAAGACAGAATAACTTGTAGTGGGACAGGGAGGTCAAAAAAAGTAGTTCTGCCCCAAAATCATTTAAGAACATATGTTCTGTGCAAATTAGCTCAATAAAGCAAGTATTCGTTATAAGCTATTCATGATTTGACAGAACTTTCTATCAAAAATTCCTTGCAGGTAGATCGATATAGAAATTATTTGAAAGCAGTCTTCTATGGAACTAAAAAATATATTTGCTTTGTTCTTGTTTGCTTGAATCTTATCCCGTCCCAAACCATGTAACATGACCTGTTCCTCAGTATCCTCTGTATGTTATGTCTTCTCCCATGTTTTCAAACGACACCCTCAACGAATGGGTGTTTTCAGTGCTCGTATAGAGTTACACATGAAAATGAACGGATTCAGAATGTTGACATCACGTTCCCAAGTTTTATTTTCTTGAGAAATACTGGGAAGCGAGCTTTTTCTTGCACAAAATGGCAAAAGTTAAAAATGCGATTCCGAAGTTTGTACAGATGGAGTTTAGGCTAAGTGAACTTTATTTTAGCGGCAATATGTGCGATTCCCCGACAGGAATCGAACGTGCTTCCGTGGCGCAATCGGCAGCGCGTTCGGCTGTTAACCGAAAGGTTGGTGGTTCGAGCCCACCCGGGAGCGAAATGTTTTGCATTTGGCAAAAAATGTCTTTTTATCTAGTGTCAGTTTGCAACAATTTCAAACTATTCTTAAGTAAGCTGCCAATATGGAAAGTGCTTTTTTATCCAATTAGTCGCTTAAGTTTCTCTTCCCCTCGTTAGAATAAGTTAGAGAAGATCTGTGCTCACATAACAGAGCTTGAAATCCGATACAACGCGTGTATTCAAATGGCATAAACAAAAAACAACAGAAAAAGAGATCAGTCGTTTTAACGAGGAATGGAATGGCAATCCTAGAAAAAAAAAACTGGCTTGATATTGATTGAAAAATTTTGACTGCAACATAAAAAAGTTTTTCTTTGCGTTTTGAATAGTGTTTCCATTTTTCATTCCTCGTTATCCCGATATATCATTGAATGAAATGTTTACCTGTGCAAGACGTAAAGTAGCCCCGGGACATTCGTTTGCCTGATGTTCACAATACGACGAGACGATATTGGCGATACGACGTTTGAAATATGTTTCGTATTTTTCATTCGTGTGAAGATGCGCTTCAAGATTGACATGCCGTAATCGCATGTCAACAACTGGCAGTTCGAGCGACTGAAAGAAATAAAGCCGTTGTTTATGGGATTGAGTTGAGAAGAGGGGCTTGTTGTGATTTGTTGCATGAAGCATGGCCAAGGTTTTTGGCTTAGGGTTTCAAAAAACTTTATGGTGAAAATAGTTCAGGAAAAATTTGTAGCAAGGAGGTGTCTAATTGGGAATTTGCTTGAGCGAGTCGCCTACTCCCCTAAGGTTTTGGAAATTTTTTTGACAATGAGACACGGAAGATATCAAAATTCATAGCAAAAAAATATTAACTGAAAGTTTATTTGAGCCCTAGGCTAAATTTTGCTTGGACCTTCCAACCTTTTTTTTCTGCCTGGTTTCGTCACTCTCACATGTTTTCTAGGTCTCTATTCAACTTATTTATTATCCTTGCATTTTTTGGCAATCTTTTGTTGTTGTACGGGGTCTGCTGCTGTAGCTCTTTTCCATAACTTTCTAGGGTGTATAATTATAATTGGTCACTGCTAGCTGTCCCAATTGTTTCACTAATTCATCGTTTTCTTCCTTGCACACTTTCTTGTCAACTTTTTTTCGCTCTATCATTTCAGTGTACTTACATGTCCCCCAGTCTTTTTCTCACTCTTTCATTCCCATATCTGATCTTTCCATCCTTCAAGCTGAATCCATCTTTTCTCATTTTACGCAGACAACCACGAAATCCGTCTGTTCAGAGTAAAAAAAATATAATGATTGTGCGTGTAATTGCTGCCATCAACTATTCATGAAGTGCTTCCTTATGCCTAAGTAAGCAATGAATGGTTGTTTTTGACGCAAAAGGTTCACTAAGATTGTCTCTTACGAATTTGGAATAAATTTAAACTCGAAAAGAATAATGTTTTCCACTTTGAATGGAATCACTTTCTCATCAGATCGCCTTTGCCTTTGCATAGAATCGTCTTTGATGTCAAAAGTGCAAATGTCATCGCATAGCGTTTCAAAAAGCGCAGCGATAAACGTAACCCAGTAAAACTTTACACAAAACTTCCTTCATAAAATGCGGCAAACAGCGCCCGGAATCGATTTGAAGGCTCTCCACGCCTCAAGTTTTAGTGCAAATGAAGTCCATTGGTTTCTTAATGAGGCATATGTTAAGAGTCGAATCATTTTGAGTAGAAAAAATTGCTGAGAATTTTATTTGTGTCTTGCAATACGATTGGAAGTGTAGAAAGTGCGTTCTGCAAATTAGCTTCACTAGGAATGGAACTCGAAGATTTTATTACATGCCCTGCGGTAAGGGAATGCCCGTGAGTGACACAGAGGATGGAGGTGCTTATATCGATCTGACGAGTTTCGTGAACTTTTGCATATTTGAGGAGAAGCTGACATCAGAGAAACTTTTCATAACTAACTAAGAAGGCGTGGCGAGGGCGGTGTGGGTGGACTGGTGAATATGTAAGGCTGTTGAATACTTTGACGTGAAACCACGTTTTAACTAATGAGCTGTGAAAATTCAATAGGAGTTATTTGAGAATATTGTGAAAAAAATCAAATCCTCATTCCGATTAGGCTTCAACATCGGTAAGCTAAGATAATGAGAAAAGCTAAGTTTCCATAATATATGATAGTAAGAAACAAAATTGTAATACGCATCGCATCGCAATTTTCGTTTAGTCCCTATGCTTAGACGAAGTTCGAATTCGTGAATTATTTTCAAGACTTCCCACTCAGTTCAGGAAAGAGACCTTCGAATAACTCAAAGGGTGAAGAAGGATGAGTGAGGTCCTAAAATGATTTATACCTTTCTAGAGAAGTTGTGAAAGTCATTTTGTGAGGCATATTCTCTGCAAAAAACGTGACCTCTTTAAGGACTCATTCCATGTTTCACTCGCCCATTCTTCTGTTAAAAGATTCTCAGAATTTTGGCTTACAACTCTTTTCTGAGCTATTTGTTTGAAAGCGTAAAAATAAATAGGTATTAGACTAATTGTGAGGTGATGAGAAAATTATAATCGATTGGAGGTAACTGCTACTAAATTAGTTACTGATGCAATGCGATTTACTGGATCTTACATTACGAAAGCGGATGCCAGCCTGCGAAAAGATTTTGGAAGGCTTTTCAGCTGCATTTGTGAAAATTGAAAGAACCTTGAAAACAGACAGAAACAATTCGAGGGACTTTTTTTTCAAACCCTAATCTGCAACGAAGTTTTTTTCTGTGTGGGAACATTGCAGAAAAGGATTAGGCTTTGTTGAATTGTACGTAGTGCTTTCGTTGATAAATGTTGTCATATAAGTTCCTTTTCATAATCTCCATCATTGTACTCATTCATTAATCATTTTCTTCTTTATCTAGCAGTAATGCTGTTAGTTATGCAGAAATCCTTGCACATTCTAGTGTTTGCCCCTGTTCCATGCGTCTTCTTTTTATACATTTTTTCCCTGCTGCCTTTTTTTCTCGTTCAATCTCAATTAGTGCTTGATACTTAGCAATTACGTGCAAATAATAGAAGCAAATTGAGTGCCGCGTTGCAATAATTTACTCCCCCAACAGGGAAGGACAGCTAAGTGATTTGGGAGGAAAAGATAATCTTTTTCCGAAGTGGTGGAGGGAGGGAAATAAGTGAGTGGTATGGTAAAAAAACAAAACAAAAAGAGCTGTGATTAGACAAATGCTAGCCATTTTCTGCTCTACACGAAAAGGCTAAAAGTAAGTTTTAAATTATCATTTCTTCCAGTGTTGCTGCTCAAGCGTGAGGATTGAAAGATGAAAATTCCTGATAAATCGCGCGAAAATAGACATCTGCCTGAAGTTTTTCCACTACTAGTATGAAATTTCTGCCCAATTATTATTTCGTTTCGCTCTTTTGCGTCAGAGGTCTAAACGTTGGGGGCTCCACCAATGTTGTTCCTTTTTTAGATATGAGAATCGATAGATGGAAATCTTGTTTCCTTGTTTTCTCCTCAATCTATGCTCAACACAAGCTGAGCGCTTTTCAATGCTCCATCAGCTGTGCTGCGTAAATGTCATTCCCTTCGGCTCCCTCTCCTCCCCCATCCGCTCCTCAAACGCATATGCATATAAACACGGGAAAGCACGTTATTTACGTCAGATAATAAGACGTTACGTACTCGATTTGAAAATGCGCCGCTGAGGAAATCGAATCGCACCTCGGCTCGGCACCCGATTTGGCTTCCCGCGCGCTGCGTCGCCTAGAGTTTTCAGAGTTGATTTGTATGTGTGTGTGCGGATTAATTGAGTGTAATGTAGTTATGGATTCCGCGCTGCGGCGAGCAAAGCCGGAAATCGTTGCAGGTAAGCGGGGGGGGGGGAGATCTTGGGCACGGATATGTTGTGTGTTGTTCGGGGAGTGCAAAGTGAACAAATTAGAACGAGAAGCACAGCTCGTCACACACTGGCCGCATTGTTAGAGGAGGAAACTCTCAACGCGGTCGATAACTTGGGTTCTTTTGCGCCTCCAGCAGCAGACAAAATAGTGTGTGTGTATGGGTGGTGGTCGTGGAGTGCTTAGCAGCACTCATATAAACGATGCGAAAAAGTGAGGCGAGCATAAGATGGGAGAGAGAATTATTGGAAGCTTATAGGGCAAAGTAAGAGGTAATAAACGGAATAGGGAAATTATGGGGAAAGGGAAGGTAATCTAAGCTAATTCTAAACACAAAGAGGCAAAATGTAAAAAGAAAGAATGAACTCATAAAACACAAAAAAATTATCGAAATTACCTGAATAAATTGGTCACACTCAATAATAGGAGGTCCAGCTATAACGTCAGAAGCTGGTGGTACTCCCGTACGACAGATACATTGGTAGTCAGTACCATTATTACAGACCATCTGTCGTTCAGGTTCGTGCCGCACTCCTGCCACTGCATGGCTCCTATGACCGCCACCGTAATCGTCGTAGGCGCCCACTGCACAGACGAAACTCAACAGTTCAGCTAGAACCACTAGCAAAGTGCTCGAGCCGTAAATCGCCGAGGTCGCGAGAGGTCTGGGTGGAACGAGTAGAGGACGGCACGAGCTCATGCGAATCGTCTTGTCAGGCGCATGCCGGCAACGAAAAGTGGCTCATACGCCAAGCCACGCCTCCGCCGCCGCTGCCGTCGCCGACGACGGCTGGCCGCTGGCTGCTCGACAAGAACCAACGGCTGGCGCTCCGCATTGACGAAGCTCAGTTTTCGCTCGTCATCGTTCTTCTCTCTACCTCACACTATGTGGCCTCAAGGGCTTCACATCATATCGCCGCTATCGATAGAGAGATAGGATATCAGGCTGCATAGCAAAAAGACATGAAAAATGATCGCGCCAGAGTTGCGCTGTGACGCGATAGTGCGATCCCTGACGAGAGTCAAAGGTCCCTACGTCAAGTATGTTGCATGAGCATACTTCGAGACTGCTGTCTTGTAATAAGAGATGGAAAGCAGAGGGGTTGTAAGCATGAAATTGAATGCTGCTAAAGTATATAAGAAAAAGTCACTTGTATAACGATAATTGCATGATGAGAGGGACTCACACATTCTTGAGATAATCTAAAAGGACAACATTCACAGAATTTCCTGGTTGAATCGAGGGATTGGCAGGAAAAAGCTTTTGGAAAGAGCTCAATTTTTTTTGCTCTGCAGGCTCCAAATTTGGTTTTGGATTTATGGGAAGGAGTTCAGAAATCAAGAGAGGGTACAATAGCGCCTTTTTTGGGAATCAGATTAACTTGTATGATTGTACTTAAGCAAATCTATGACCTTTTAGTTCTAACTAGATCAAGGTAGCAAAAAAAAAATTATCTGGAACGCAAAAAAGAATTGTGCTTGCGCGTTTCAAAGAGAGCCTTTTTCGTTCGCGATTTTCAATAGTCTTCAAACAGCTTTGAAGAACGCGATGTTTTGCCGAAACGCGTCACATTTCTATAAGGATTCTCCATAATTTTTATAATTTTGCTACCTTGATCATGCTTGGTTGAAACTAAATCAATATTCAGGTAGTATGTCAGGGTTGATTAATTGTCGGATTTGGTTAGGTACAGTCGAGTAGATTTAGCGGTAAATATAGTGTGCTTGCACAGAAGGTGAAATGCGGTGAAATTTGCGCGTGAACAAGTAGCCACGTCAGTACCGCGGGTATCTTGCGCGCGCAATTGGCCGGCGTCATAGTCGAAACTATTTCTTCACGCGCCAATTTTACCGCATTTCACCTTCTGTACAAGCACACTATATTTACCGCTAAATCTACTCGACTGTACATTCTCGACCTTTATCAAACATTCATAACCTCTATCAAGGCGATAGTTCTTACAGCTATAGTAGCAGCTATTTTTGCACTATTCAAGTCGCTCAAATCGCTGCTGCTTAGCAGAAAAAAACCCTATCGCTCATAAACGCAATTTGCATGATAAATTTTGTAATCTCAGTATGTGTACTTAGCCTTAGCTTGCTGAAACTTGCTTTAAAAAACAAAAACGCTTTTCCACCAATTTACAAAATTAAGTCGAGGCGATAATGCGCTGTGACTCAATGTGACCGTGGAGATGAACCCACGCTGAAGATTTCTTAGTCAGGGCTTCTTTATCATGGTCTTCCTAGAGTAATTCATTTTTTTCTTGTATGTTGGCTACGTCAAGAAATGAAAAGAATGTGCTTGCAAATGTAAATCTCCGGATTAGCATTTAGCTAATGCAGACACTTAACTGAAGAAAAATGTTGTGGGTAGTCTGTGGACCTTAGTTAGACTAATGTGATTGCTCTAGAATGAGAAGGGAGTGGAGAAGGAGACGATCTGTGATCCAAAAAAGCTTTGAATTTTGATTAATGTGAAATATTGTCACAATACATAGTTGATTGAATTAACTCATAACATTATAGTAAAATTTTCAAAGTCATGATTTGGCAAATCCAAACATCTTAAAAAACATTTTTTTTCATGAAGAAATGCTCGTTAGGGAATGGTCAGAATTTAACTCACCTATTTCAAACAAGTGTGTGTATACATGCACTCGCCTTGAAACACTGATCCAAATACAGTTTATTATCTGCCAAGCGACTATCTGGAAGGAGTTATGAGCGTTCAAATGTTTGGGTTTGTCAACTGTTCTATAGCGCATATTTTTTGTTTTACGAAAAATGCTTCAAAAACACTTATTTGGGTTTCTGGTGAATATGCATCTTTCTTGTAATTAAATTAATATTAAAAGGGTAATTACGCATCCTCAGGATGTCTTTTTAACAAACTTTATTCCCGAAAAGTTGGACAAGTTTTAACGCTCATAACTCTTTTTAGATAGTCACTTGGCAGATAATAAACAAATATTTGAAATCACCTTCGAGGTGAGTCCAATGTTTCTTTGATTCAAAAAGACTGGCGGCTGGAAGGCGGTCGCTCGCACCCGCGACGCAGTCTGCGTCTCCCTCGGGAGCGTGGTCTCTAATCATTCCCTAGCCTTGATTACGCCTCGAAGCCCCGCCTTCCAGCCGCTAATTCTGTTCAAAGTGTACAGCTGGTTTGAAATGGCTGGGTTGAGTTCTAACCATTCCCTGTTCAGCTTTTTCTGGATTTTAAGTATGACTCATGATTTATTGCATTTGAGTGGAAGAATTTGGAATTGTAGTAAAACTCTAAGTTCAAAAGATTTCGTGTGGATATGGCTTTATAGGCGATTTCACAGCTCCTTGCTTTGAGAAAAATGTTTCGATTGGAAGGACACCAGCGCGGCTTTGCTTTCCATTCTAATTGAGTTGTGAAGCATTAAACGAAATCTCAATGCACTTTGAGTTTGGCTGACGTCACTTGAATAGGGCGCAGTTCCCATCCTTCACACATTGACGCCGAAGTAATGGAGAATATGAGAATAACACGATATCATTCTTCAAGTTCAGTCACGCTTTGGTGCTAAGATAGTGTAATGCCCGAGGGGCCAGTCGAGTAGTGAGAAAGGCTAGAGGATAAGTAGGAAAATTTTCAATAATACGCAGAAATATTAACAAGAAGCCACGAAGAGATGTCATGTTTCGATTTTAAACACTACCGTAATTAAATTGACGGCTTTCTTGGGTCTCTTCAGTAGCCTAGGAAGGAAGTAAGTACTATAAAATTGACATGAAATGTTGAAGTAACTTCTTCCTGACTTTTCAGTTTTCAGTTGTTTTTGTATGCTAAACTAATTGTGAGATGTAGTATAAAACATTGCGAACTTGATGAGCTATCACCGTGATGCTTTTTGGCACCGATACAATACAAAAAAGTTATTGTCTTCTCGCTACTCCTTTCATCCAATAAAAAGTGCAAGCCTTTCTCCCCCGCTGCTCTGCTTTTCTTCTTCTTCTGGGAATGTTATTTGAACTTTACTGCGGAAATAGTGGCGGATTTTTTCAAAATGTAAATTAGTGCTATATGAATGCTCTCAAATGTGTAGACGAGCTTTGAAAAGGCTTATGAGTCAAGTTTGTTGTGTTCAAACTATGAATTAATATTTTAATTTAAACTGGATTTATAAATTAATTCCTCTTTTGAATTTTTGATGGTTAAGAACCATGACCTTCGGTCAACCTGCAAACTACACTTTGATTCAACTGGCTTGGCGGCTGGAAGGCGGGGCTTCGTGACATAATTAAGGCTAGAGAATGACAAGAGAGCACGTGCGCGAGAAAGACGGAGACTGCGTTGCCGGCGCGAGCGGCCTCAATTAGGTCACAACGCCCCGCCTTCCAGCCGCCACTCCAGTTGAATCAAAGGTTAGATTTTCTTCCTTGAGTCGCGCACTTCATGATGCCTTTAGTTCGAAATATCAGTTTGAACTCTCTCCCTCTCATTTTGAGCTCCTACATAATCTCTTACGATATTAACATCGATATTAAGTTATCTGTATAAATGTTAATTAGATTGTATATTTTCGAGCGGTATCATGTCCTTTCTATAACTATTCAGTTGTCAGAGATCGCTTTTGAATTGCAAAGGTGTCTCAGTGCAATTAATCGACATCAAGTCTCGGTGATTTAGTTTTTGTTGCCTCGCCTATTAGTGTCCCACCCATTCTTTCTGTCTACTGGTCAAAGATTGCTTTTATTCTTTGAGAGGGCTGTAGTGCGTGCTATTCCTTCAAAAATTCAAGTCCGCATTGTCCGATGAATTCCAAGTTTTTGAATTATAAGTACTTCTGACAAGGAGCTTGCTCTATTTTATGATGTCATAATTTGGTATTTTTTCAACCTTCGATTTTTCTATGCGAGTTCAACCAGACCATAATTTTTACTGTTATTTCACTGCTGTTGTTCATTCACACTTACAATTTTTGGCGATATCCACATCATAAAATATTTTCTAGGATTCCCTTCGGTTGGCAAGTCTACTTTACTATCAAATCTTGCTGGTGTATACTCGGAAGTTGCCGCATATGAATTCACAACCCTTACTACAGTACCAGGAGTAATCCGTTACAAGGTTTGCAGTGTTTCTTGGGATTTGGAATTTTTTCAAAAATTTATTAATTTTAACCTCTCGATTTTACATCTATTGCTTGCTATACAGAACCATGTTTTTCCAATGCATTCATAGTATTTCATTTTGGTCCGCATATGACATCCTTTCTACAATTTTACAGATCTTTTTCTCCTATGAACGGTCGAAGTTTGAGCCGTTTTAGTCGTACTTCTGTCTAAAAAAGCCTTTGTTTAGCTTGTGGGATAATCTCAATGATCCCCTAGAATTTTCTTCAAAGGCGAAGCCAATTGCTCCTTTTATTTCTGATAATATAAGCTTCTATTATCAAAATGTGCTTCTTCAAATATAATTCGTTACATTGAGCTTAACATGATGCATTATAGGGAGCAAAAATCCAACTGCTTGATTTACCCGGAATCATTGAAGGAGCAAAAGATGGTAAAGGACGTGGAAAACAAGTAATTGCTGGTGAGTTATACGTCCTAAGCGAAGTTCATTGCAGTTTCTTGCAGGACAGCTAGAGCTTTTTTGGCAAATCGCTCAAAAACTCACTGATGTCATGCATGTTTTTATCTTTCTTCTTCTGGGCACTATACGCATGCCCTTTCGTGACGAAAATTTACATATTCATAAGCTACAAACGTCTGCCATAGCTAAAACTCCAAATTGAACATTAGCATTGCTAAACGAACTTTTTGTGTAGGGAGACATAAGCATCCTAATTTTGCAGTCGGTTGGCACTAATATCCTATGTTACCATAACGATATTATTAATGGGAGTGGTACATCTTAGGACAATGAAAGCAGATATGTATGGCTGAGTTCCGTATCTGAAAAGAGTGGAGGCCCTAATTAAGTCATTATGCAAATAACTCAATTCATTCATGGTCAAGAAATACGGTTAATTCCGCAATCTCGCCCAGTACCATATTCTTCGGCCGGACCATGCCGTCTTCGACTACGGTACTGGGCAATAAAGCCGAATTTCTCAGCGATGAACAGAATATGATAGTTGGGCAGTGACTTTGTTAATGCTTCCCCAGTTTCCCACACAGGTAATCTGCTTGGTCACACGTTAGTTAAATTTGTAATATATAAGGATCCATCTTTGATAGCATGTCAGTGATGACAATTTGACGTGCTTGTATCGGGATTTCTCATATTTTCGATTTTACAAATCATACTTCTATGTTTTCCTTTTGTTTTGCGCAGTACGGTTATTTCTGTAGAGCATAGCATTCTCTACAAGATGACCACCAACGTACTAGCTAAATTATATTTTACGTAAAGCTCAATCTGAAATCCTATAGTTGTTGGAAATATGACCTTTGATCATCGACCACCTTCCGAAAATATCCTTTGGATTTTCTTTCCTAAACCCTGTTTTTTCTTATCTTGAAGTGAAAAAGATTTGTCCTGAAGTGACAAATTTCCCCGGGAAGTCTCGTGTTCCTCCCACATACGGAGTAATACAGCCTATACAGTTGAAGGCTGGATATAAAGTTCACCCCTGTAGATTTCCTAGTTCTCAAAGGATATCGATTTAAGACTAGATAGTGCTGGTATCCTTCTTTAGATGTGATTATTTTCTTGCCTTCAAGTTAAGATCTAGCCAACAGCAGGTCACTTGATGTCATAACCTCACAGTTTTATTTTAATGTAAATTGATGGGCATTCTTCTTTTTATTACGAAGCTAGCGGGAATAGCACCTGTTCGGCCGAATTGCTCACATGGTTTGTGTTCTCTGAGTGTCGTGCAGCTGGTTGGAACACTTCTTTCGATTGTCAAATTCGAGCTGCAGGCTAAAAATCCAGTGAGTAATCCATAGCGTGAACAAATCGTATCAAGACCAATTAGCAAATTTTTGGCAACAATTAAAAATTTTGCAACAATTTGTGAATTTTATAAATCTCGAATAACGTTCATTTTTCTTTCTGAGACCTGATGCTATGCCAAAAGTAAGTATTTGTTTTTGTTTGCTTAAAATCTTTCAACTATCATGAATATTTTATAATCTTCGTTGTGGATGCATAGGAAATGTGAGAATAGCGAAAAAGCGAATGGAGATACTTGAAGTGCCATAAGTCTTTTTTTTTGAATACTTTGAATTTTGCACTACCTAGGGATTCACTGAAATAGCTGAAATTTGGAGGAAAGTGTTTAGTGTATAAAATATCCCTATGTTGTTCCTTCAGGGAGTTTCCATTAAAAATCTTGTATAGAACAATCCCAAGTCTTGACATCAGCTGTATAATTATTCAAAATCATCTGATTAAAATTTTTTGGAAAAGTCCGTTGCGATTGTTTTCTACAAAGTTCTCATTGGAGACTCCCTGAAGGAATAATTTGCGGAACATGCATAGGGTAACGTTGAATCCTTTATATCTATCATGACCGTAGCGTAGCGTTGTAGCGTCAAAACATTGTGGGAGAAATCGCAGGTGTTTAAAACTTAATTTCTGTGATTATTTTATAAATTAGTTTGAAAACCAGATTCCAAGCGCTGCATTTTTATTCTAGGCACATTGATCCAGAAGTGGGAATTCCCTAGACTATTCACGAGTTTTATTACGTTAGTATCTATTTGATTGAGATCCCTGAAAATGATTAATTAATCTATGCAAACGCGTCGTCATCCGGAAAAATTACTGGACAAGGACAAATATGTTGAATACATAAAAAAGGAGGCTATCTTGGATGAGTTATTGAAGTGTGGGTGGAGATGGGATGGCAGTAATGTGAGACGAATAATGACTAGAACCCGGCTGTGTCCTTGTTGATTATTGGGCAAATTCTATGGGCTTGTTTCTTAAGATATGAGTTTTATGTCAAGAACTATTTGTTCTCGAGTTCAGACCAACATATGACCACCTTGGCCTAAGCACTTCGTCGTCATCGTCGTTCTATAGCGCTTCAATGCGTTAAATTATATGCACGACTGCAAGCGCTTTTTTTGCCACTCACCACATATATTTCTGCGAGATGCAGTTGAATTCCATTAAAGCCCGTCCATATGAAAATACCTAGCGCTTTAGAATGTAGCCTATGGGGATTTTTTTCTTGTGGTTCTCACGAAATTTTGAAGGAATACATAGGAAAAACGAAAAAATTGACGATAATGACAGGAATTTAAAAAGCCAAAAAAATTCACAGTTATGCAGAGTAAGTAAGAGCATTTTTGTGAATTTGTTTTTTATTACAGCTTTTTTGCAGTGCCTTTTGCAATAATCAAAATTTTATCTCCAAAAGATAAGTACCCTATTTATTAAGACATTCTTAGAGGACGGGGAGACGTTATACTTCAAGTATAATAATAATAGAGTAGTTGATAATAATTGATAATAATAATTATAATAATGATAGTAATAAATTAATAATAGACTAGTAATTTTGAATTAATCCACTTTTTTCTTATTACAATGATTTCTGCTAAAAATTGACAAGATTTTTGCTTAAGCTGATAATTCCCTTATGATTTCTATCAGCAACTATATGTAGTTTGGCGGTATATATAGTGTACTTGCGTTGCCGACAATATTTGCGCGTAAGGAATGGCAACTGTGCTCCGTATCCACTTTTTAGCGCAAATCGAAGCATATTTTTGGGACTTAGAGTCATGGCATTCACTCCCGCGCAAATGTTATCGCCACCGCAAAGGCACTATATTAATCATCGAATCTATCAGATCAGACTATATCTATCAGGTGTTTATAGCTTCATCGAAATAATTGCTATAACTTTTTGCAGTGGCTCGAACATGCTCGTTGATATTAATGGTTCTGGATGTGATGAAACCCTTGAAGCACAAGCAACTACTTGAATACGAATTGGAAGGCTTTGGAATACGTCTGAATAAGCAACCACCGAACATTGGCTTTAAGAAAAAGGATAAAGGAGGCCTCAATTTGACAGCTTTGGTAAGATTTGCTTACTTTTTCCAGAGTACGTTTTCCATCTATTTTTTCAATCTTATCTTTGTATTTTGACCTTTTTTCAAGAATCTTTTTGTTCTCATTTTCCTCATTATTTGCGTAACATGATGAGCTATGATTATCTCTGCTGTCACAAAAATCTCCTACATATCTGTCAAAAACGCGTGAAGCTTCAAAAGGGACTGGATTATACCCTTGTGACGTGCCTAAGTGCGGTGATAATTGCCGATTTTGCCGCAATTTCCGCTCGATGTGGACAGCATTGATGCCGAAGCCCATCATGTCAGCTCTAATGCAAAGTTTCGCCTATTTAGATGACACTTTTGGAGGGTTCGGGGAGGGGGGGGGGGAGAGGGGTTACACACTCAAGATGAATCCGATGCTAATATGAGTCTGAAAAGAAGTGTTTCTCCCGTAATTTATGTTTGAACTTCGTCCTATAGGCTAAAAGTTATGCGGCCAATTATCATTGCGAGGGAGGAAAACCCGTCAAGTGTCATTCATCATTTCCTTTCTGCAGAAATGCGCACTTCGCCGTGTTTTTCATGCTCCAAACAATAAGTCTCATTCCCTAGAGGGAAGTGCCTCAATGGCACCTATCGATCCTGGACTTTTCGCCTCCTTTCCTTCTCGCTCAAAATGAGCGCCCCTTTTTTCGGAATGTTTCAAACATATGGGGAAATGGATGCGTCGAATTGCAATTGGGAGTTTATTGCTTGAGATGGTGAAAAGGAGGGCTGGGGAGGAGGAGGGGGGGGGGGGGAGATGTAGTGTTGGGAAGAAAATGTATAGTCTGCCTTTATAACATATAACTTAGTAGTAACTACAAATGTAGGGATCGATCATGCGTCCCACCTTCCATTTGATTTTTCTCTCAAACTTTTTATGCTTTATTTTGAGTATAAGAAATAAAGAGATTTCCACAACTGAAATTGTGCAATTATGATTTTCGCGAAGTCTCCACCCAAAATGCTGGCTTTGTCTGAAAATCGTAAAATATTAACAGTCCCCAGTTCCAGTGCTTTGGGCAGCCACTTTGGCTTAGAATTACGAATGAAAGTCTGGAAACCAGGAAGTTTGGGCTGTTTTGGTTTTTTTATTTTTCTAGACTGAGATGGTTAAAAAAAATCAATGTTCCGTTCTCTTGTGTTTTTTTGAGTAATTGAGGACTTCCTCTTTTTCAGGGGAATTGTAGAGTTGATTCGCATGAAATTACTCAAAGTTCAGTACCATAGTACTCTGAGAGATTGAGAACGCTAAGAACTACATTATGTGTTAGTCCACTACAGACAAATTGAAGCTTTGAGTGCAAATAGCCCTAAAACTTCCACCAGCACATCTGTTCCGCTACTAGATTGTCTCATCAGTTGTAGGTTAGATGAGAGAGGAATGGAGGAAGTGGAAGAAGGGATTTTACTTGCAGTAAAAAAATCCTAACCTGAAAGAACTTTGTATAATAGGCCAATAATAGCATACTGAGATTACTAGCGAGTTCCGAGCTTGTAAGCATGATTTCATAGGTTCTTTCATGCATGCATGCTTCAACTAAGTGGGGAGCTATCCCATGGAAACCGCTTCTCTTTTTCACTAAAAAATTCTACCAGCTGTGAAGGTGACGTCTTTCATGAGAAAAAAAGTAGTGAAAAGTGGTTTTTTTCTTCAAATTCCCTAAGTTTTAACAGGCGGATGAAATTTTTTATTTGTTAAGCTATGAAATATGAGACCAATTTGTTTATGCAGGTCCCACAAAGTGAACTGGATTTGGAAGCAGTCAAAAGCATCCTATCAGAGTATAAGATTCATAACGCGGACATCACCTTAAGGTGAGGTTGCGTACCCTTGATTTAACTGGCTTGGCGGCTGGAAGGCGGGGCTTCTTGACTTAATTAAGGCTAGATAAAGATCAGATTGCACGCGCGCGAGGGAGACGCAGACTGCGTGGTGGGCGCGAGCGGCCTTAATTAGGTCACAAAGCCCTTCCTTCCAGCCGCCAAGCCAGTTGAGTCAAAGGTTATGTTATTTGCTTCTGGTTTGCTAGGAAAATGTTCGTTTGGAGCAAAGTACTACTATTTTGTTCAGGTATGATGCAACATCAGAGGATCTTATTGACGTCATTGAGGGTAATCGGGTGTATATTCCTTGCATCTACGTTCTGAATAAGGTTTGTCATGACCATACATGGAATTTATTTGAAAAAAAAATTTCCAGTGATTCTCCGATGTACGGACCCATGCCATCACGTTCACTCATTCTTTTCTATTTGAAGTTCCTCTCAATCACTTTTATCGTCCGAGTAGTGTACAGGAGACATTCCTTTGAGAAGTTTCAGAAGCTTGGTCCGTGCACATCAGAGAATCACCAATACCCAATGAAGATAGTCCGAGCATTGAACTTTCAAGAATCTATAAAATCTGATCAATGCATTTCAGATTGATCAAATATCGATCGAAGAACTAGATATAATCTATCGTATTCCTCATTGCGTGCCAATTTCTGCACATCACAAATGGAATTTTGATGATTTACTCGAAAAAATGTGGCAATACTTGAATCTAATTCGAATGTGAGTTCTGCTAAATACGTTCAGTCGGAAACATGAACACTAGTCTATTTGTAAGTTCAATCACGATTCTGGTTTGACCATGATCAACCAGAAATATTTTGTAAGTGAAGTAGCAATGTTTTCTGTTTATGCGTAAGGCCACGGTCCACCATGTCGAGAGCGGTGTGGTTTTCGTGTGCTATAATAGCGAAGTCCCCAACTAACGAATAGGCCAAGTCCCACTAAAAATGATGATTTCCGAGAGGAGAAAATCGCTCCAGAAGTCACCCGCGGAACGTCCGTCCCGCCCATCAACATGAGTGATCCGAAAATGAAGTGCGCTAGATTGGACTTTACAGGCAGCGTTCACCCAAAATCTAAGTTACCCAATTCTCTATACCGTGTATATCTAGGGCCCAGAAAAAGACCAACTGCGTCGGTCCGGTCTCTCAGTGTTGCTTCTGAGCGAAGAAAACTCGCCTGATTTTTCTTTCATTCCGCCGTTTTTTGGGACTTTTGGAGGATTTTGATGTCATAACCGTAATCAGGGGCACGGAAAGGCCCCAGAGTGACAAAAACATCGAAGGCGAAATTTTGGGTGTACGCTGCCTTTGAGTAGCTATATGTAAAAAATTTTCCTTCATCAGAATAAGATCGATATTTTCTAGCTACTTGAAGCTCAATTTAGCATACTACTTTTGGACTACCCACGTTTATAGGCGGGACGGACGTGTCCGCAGATATCTTCTATAGTAAATTTTCGCTTGGAAATCCATTTTTGCAGTGAAGGCTATGCAGTTAATTAGCCAAGGGCTCCGCTATTCCTTACAGTAGTATTGAACCATCAAAATCTTTTAGTTACACCAAACCTCGGGGTCAATTGCCTGATTACTCGGCGCCCATAGTTTTGAATGCTGAGAAGAATACCGTGGATGATCTATGCTTGAAAATCCACAAATCGTTGCAGAAAGATTTCAAAGCGTGAGAATTACTGTTATCATGCGCTTTTCTTATTTTATTATTGTTTATTCATGATTTTTTTGCAGAGCTTTGGTTTGGGGCGCTTCGGCAAAACACAATCCGCAACGGGTCGGTAAAGAGCATGTGCTCTTTGATGAAGATGTTGTGCAAATTCTTAAGAGGTACATTTGAATATCTGTTCTGTGCTAAATAGCCCTTGACTCTATATTTTTCTAGAATTTAATGACGAGTATGAGGACAACATGCTGTTCATCTTCTAGAATATGAAAATTTCGGTGGAGTAGAGGATTGTTATCGACTAATCGTTTGTTGTTAATGTTTGTGTGATGGAAATATCGGTGATAAAGTATTGGTGTTCAAATGGGTTTTTCCCTGTCAGCACAAAACATTTTGTTATTGTAAACGTTACATGGAAGTTATGAGAGGATGACTGTAAAACGGCTCTTTTGTGTTGCTACGTATGCAGAGTACGACGGTAAGTATGGAAGCTCTCATGAATCGACTCTATTTCGGAGGCTTAGACATTCTAGCACCGTTCACTCGTTCTGATGTTAGTGAGATTTTTATGCAGAACACTAGTGAAACCCCTAGCTAAGTATTTGCCAGCTGCAAAGTCCAGTACAAGTCCATCTGCAAAATGTGCATTGCGAAGCGAGATAATCGCTCTAGAAGGTGGGTGGTTCTGGGGCCGCCACGCCCTTCATTACATCCACACCTAGGTGTGGATGTAATGAGCCGGAAATGAACTCGATAGTACTAAAAATGTCACAATTTCGCCTTTTATTGTAGAGTGCAATTTCCGGTTCATTCGGAATATCGAGTTATGAGAGTGGCGGTCTCAAAAGCATCCACCTTCTGAAGCTATTTTCCTGTTTTGGAACACATTTTTTGCAGCGGGACTTGGGCATTTGTCTAATTAAAAGGCCTGCTATTGTAGTGCATCAGAATTCCACCATCCTCGTACTTTTGACGGTGGCATTACGCCCTTTACTTCTTCTTAATCGGTCTGACTATCTACTTCCTTTATGAATTTTTTGTCCTATCAGTAGCCTAGGCTGTTGCATAAGTTCTGTCCGATTTGAATTTTTGAGTTTAAAATGTCATAACTTCTTTCAGAGTCAACTTTTTTCCAAGGTCTTAGTTTCTATGTGTTGAGCAGTCCCTTGGCTAAAAAATGCATATTGAGATCTGCGCAAATTTTTGTTAAGGAAGAACCAAGAATGCAAAAACTTCGCAGCGTTTTTCTTCGAATCTGTCTTTTTTGACATGGTAACGCTCCCTTATGAAAATTGATAGGCATCTTTTCTAATAATGGATGGATAGAGAAATTTTCGTAGATTATTATGCAACATAAAAGAGCCCATAGGGTTTGCGCTGCCGAGAGATTTTCTTGACCGAACAAAAAATTAGCCACTTTTTGACCTCGCTTCAGCACATGTGTGCATGCCTATTTATGAACTACGAACGTTTTACAACTGACGTGAGCGCCGAAAAGGAATTGGTGGATGGGCCCTGTTAGCTCTTGCTTTGCCCTAGCACCTCCAACTTTGAGCTTGTCGATTACTTCTATTCGCAGAAAGTTATTGCTTGTAAAACATCTATACCAAAGATTTATGTTCGAGGATAAATTTCACTAGCAAGACGTATTCTTCATGACCGAACTTCTGCATATACTAGCATTCCATACCCTTATTCCGAAGCCAATGAAAGAACCTGACTTGAAGGGCGCATTGTGGAGATATCCTCGCAAGGACATATTTCTAGGGATAGAACGTACCTCGGCCACTTAGAGATTTTAGGCCTGTGATCTCCGTACACTAAGAATTTTATTGAATTCTGGTATGCTTTAGAAAGCGCAAGGAAAGCACTTTTCAATGATACCAACCGTATCGAATTAGAGATGAAATTCTCTTAGAACAGCTGCTTCAAACATGAGGCAAAAAAATCGGACAGAACTTATGCAACAGCCTAGTAATATAGTCTATATAGTCAGAGGCATTTCCATGAGTAGCAGACAGAACAGAATGCAGCGTTTCGGTCGAGATCATGCATGGCTTTCAGTTCGCTTTCTGAGAAAGAAATCGCTGCCACCTAAAATTTAGAATATCACTTGAAATTTAAATGACGAGCGGGTAGAGGAACGAACACCTCAATTAGGTACCGCCTCCGCGAACTACTGGTCCCAACACGATGTACAACAGTAGGACGAAGGGACCAGCAGCCCGGAGAAACGGCGCCTAATTGAAGTGTTCGCACCTCTACCCATGACGAGCGAGTAACAATACTCACTTTGTGTAGATTGTCTTGTATTCTCGATGGAGTTGCAGATTTTGGAATAATTCCAACACCAGAATTCAAACCAAATGCGTAGAGAATTATCTAGAACTGAAGAGTCAGCAGCAAAACACTTTATCCGGCAAAAAGTCACCACATGATCCTGAAAAGTCCAAACCTGTGGGCTGACTCCATATTTTTTGCACAACTGCTTGACGATCTCTTCTTGCTGGATTTCTTTATTTCCCCACATAAGCGAAGAAAATGCCTCAAAACAAATTGTACTTTTGTCACAATGTATCATGGCATCCTAAACGTTTCCTTCGGTTTTTCTAGAAAGTTTCGATGCAAACGTTGTTAAGTGTTGGTAAAATGATGTTGATATGGAAATAAAAGCAAACTTGTACAAAAATTCCATTTCTTTCGCAAAAGTTGACCAAAGTTGGCCTAGTGTAGTAAGGATGAAATTCGAATTGGTTCATGACAGGTCGATACTGCAAAGGGAATTTTGAAGAAGAAAAAGAAACGAAAAAAGGAAAGGTTCACCTTTGCATACTCGAAAAGCTCTACCAAATGATAAACTTCATAGCTTGACACGCCGATCGATTTGATGATTCCGCGATCTTAAATATATAAATTAAGCGATAATATACTGAAACGAAAGGAAATTGTACCTTTGAATTCTTCAAGCTTTCGCCAAACTTCTTTTCTTCCTATCTTATTTATCTCAAAAGCATCATCTTTTCCGGCATAATCTTTAGGAAAGTGTACCAAAACCATATCTAGATAGCTAAATTATCAATCCAAATATTATCAAAAATCAGCTCAGCTAGAGCCTGCTCACTCTGTTTTTAACTTTTTCAGCGATCCTTCAACGCTTTCTTCTGTCCACTTTGATGCATTTCCATCTATGATTTGCACTTTGGTGATGATAAATATGTCATCGCGTTTAAGCCCAACTTGTGGCAGACTTTTCTATAGACGTCTTAAAATTATTATGTGAGGCTTAACTAATGTAAAACCTTACCTCCAAAGCATTTCCGAGCTCTACCTCAGTTGCGTATCGTTCAGCCGTATCGAATAAGCGGTAACCAGCCTTGAGGGCAGCTAGTACGGATGTGTCAAAACTTAACTTAAAAAATCTGTCATGAGCGCAGCCGCTTACAAATGCAAGCAAGGTAGCTTTGCTGAGAGGAAAAAATTCTAAAAAAAAGATCAAATGCTGAGGATGTGTGGTTAAGTAGGGCAGCGTTTTGAAGGCAGCGTCCCTGTAAAATTTCGTTTTCCAATTTTTTACCTACTCGGAGCCTTCTCGCCATAAGAAACCCATATCGGTCTTTCCAGCCCAAGGAAAATGGCAAAAATGAGCTTTTTTCAAAGCTTTGCAGGACCACATTTAGTGAAACGTCGAAAGTTCCGGACCCGCCCACTTACAGTTGCTTTCAATACGAATTGGTCTTCTCTACCGTATGCCTTCCAGCCTCAAAATGACGTGGCGCCGCCCTGCTTCGGGCCTGCGCCACGTAGCGGACGCTCTTTTGGCGTGGTGTGGCGAGAAAAGCAACGTGGCGCAAGCCCGAAGCGATGCGGCGCATCACCAATTCACGTCATGTTGAGGCTGGAAGGATGTGGTAGAAAAGACCAGTACGTATTGAGAACAACTGTAGTTCATTTATGCATCATTTATCGTGCTGCGCAACAAGATGAAGGTGCCGCTCGAAACCATCAGCAACAAATAGTGGTATTTTTCAACATCTTGCGCAACAAGTGATGGTGCTGCTCAACTTCATCCGCAACGGGTGATGGTGATGCGCAACACCACTCGCAACAATTGACGGTGCTTCTCAGCACTATTCGCAACAAGTGACGGTGCTGCTTAACACCATACACAACAGCTAACGGTGCTGCGCAACACCATACGACGACACAATAACGGTGCTGAGCAACACCATATGCCACAGATAGCGGTGCTGCGCAACACCATAAGCCACAGATAACGGTGCTGCGCAACACCATGCGCAACAAATGATAATGACTACTGCAGTGTACCGCTAGGTGTACTGCTAGATATTTTGCAGCATGTGATAATATATCTCCCCTTTGATATTGCGAATGTCTACCGAGTCCTACTTGTTTATTTAATACTCACAATCAGTTAATTCTAATTGTTGTGCCAACTCGTTTTCGAGAAGATGTTTCGCTTTGATGTCAGTTGGCAAAGGTGATGAGAGCGATTGTGCAGCAGCAGCGAGCAGTGCAGGGAGTACAAAAAGCCCCGTGTAAGGCGTGGCGAAAAAATTTGAATATCGTGCGCAAAATACGGGTGTTCTCACGATGAAGACCGTCTTGGCAGTTTTACGATGGCATATGTGTGCAGGAATATTGCACGAATATCAAGGCAACTACAAAAAAAGTGGAGAGACCGGCCTAACAATAAGAGAAAGTTTTCACTGGGTACAAAGTGAACTTGCGAGAAAAATTTGATATGCCTCTCAGAAAAGTTCTTGAGAGGACTGTTCCGCATCCCTCCTCCCATTCCTCCTCCCGCCTCTCTCATTTTTCTGGACTCGTCATTGTAGTAAAAACTTGACATGGAAATCAGTCTTGAATAGCTTTTTGAAACCTACATTTCTCAAGATTTACATACATGTATTTTCCACTGAATGCGGACCTGACTTCAAAAAAAAGCTCATTTTCGCCATTTTCATGCGCTGAAAAGCTCAAATATGGGTTCCAATGTGGATTCCTCATGGCGAGAAGGCTTTGAAAACATGGTACTCCTTAAACCTTTCATATCAGAATTCGGAAACTCTAGCAGCCGTAAGAAAACTGCGCTTGCAGTAAAGGAAAATCGTAAATGATACTTCTCGACCCCTTCTATGTAACTTTTACCTTCCTCCTGAGTCCTAGTGCTACTCCCCAAAACGTAAGCCCCCTCCATCTCCCAGCAGCACTGATGAGAGAAAATATGGCTGCTACCTGGCCAACAATCCTTGAGGTACCCAATCCAATCAAAGGGATTCGATTTTCATCACTCAGTTCTTTCGTTCCGCCAACGATATCTGTGCTGATTGGCATATTCAATGAAAAACGTCTGCTGAAAATAAAGTAATCTAACTTGTACATCTCCAGCTATTACAAGTTTGTAATGATCCATCTTAACATAAAAGTTTCCGAAATCACATTAGCAGCGAAGCACAAATCTTTCACTGAGTCTTCAAAAGCTTCCGAAAAAAGCCCAGACAGAAAAGTTCGCTATCATAGATAGTCATTTACTGATTTAGCCGTTAAGAAAATGTGAACTTATTTTCGAACGCATGAGTATATTTATATTCAAAGACAAGCCTGTCCGACACGATCGATGACACCTCACCAATACGTGATCGGCGATAATTTCTTGAAGCGAAATAAATGCCGTAGAGACAGCATGAGCCAATGGTTCAATGCTCCAACTTCCAGTTAGTAGAAATTCTCCAGTAAGTGATCAATGCTAAATGGTAACTAGCAGAAGCTAGACACTCCGAATAATCCCATTAACAAAACTAATCAGTTAATCCAGAAGCTGATGGCTAAAAGCTGTATGATGAAGGGCGAATCACAAAAATGTGAATGAATTGGCACTGCGTGAGTTAAAAAATACATTAGTAAAGCAGAAAAAACAGAATAAAGTACTGTTTTATCCAGAAACGCTATAGAAACTGTTCATTATTTCAACTTCAAGAACGATGCCCCTACTACATCCCGAAAAGAAACATCTTCATGGAGATAGGTTATCCAGGTAAAATATCTTTATAACGATTCAGTGTATGTTGGAGTTTCATTCAGACAGTGATAGTGTTTGCTTATCCGAAACAGGATCGGAAAGATGGTGACGTCATTTGTATAGCATGAATTTCGCACTGAGCTTGCAAAAATATCAAAATTGTTGTAGATTTTGAGACGATTTTTTTTCTAGATACGATTGCATGCTACAACGACGATTCCTGCCGCGTCCTTTGAATTTTTTTTTGTCCCGTACTATCATTCCCTGTTTTTTCAACGTTGTTTGCCCTTATCTTTTCGAGCAAAAACTCTGTAAACATGGAAAAGCAGATTGCGATTGCACGATGAACCACCATAACGATACATTTTTTTGATTTTCGCCTATGTATTGACTGCAACATTTTCAGAGTTGTTTTGGGCCCTCATCAAAATCTTCAAGAAAATCACATAGTGACATACAATGATACTTTCATTAGACTGCGCATCTTATGCTTTGGAAAAAATGTGGCTTTGTCAACATTTCGAGTACAGACGAGTAGACTTTCCGCCTAACAAGCTTGCTTACGGTGCCGAGATGTTGCGGTAGAATTTGCGCGCGAACAAATAGCTCCGCCTATAATGCCGGCCATTTGCGCGAAAATGCCAGCATTAATGGCGTGGCCATTTGTTCACGCGCAGTTTTCACCGCGAAATTTCGGCACGGCAAGCACGCCATATTTGAGCGGAATTATTACTCGACTCTGAAATGCACAGATCACTCTTTGTGTCAAGAATGTTCATACCTTCTTTGAGAAGAAGCTTAACAGCAGAAATTCGAGCACGCCTGCGGTTGTGTCAGTTTCGGATTTTTAACAGAAATAACAGATTTTTCCTCAGCCCTAACGTTGCTAAGCATCTAAAAAATAGACAAAATCGAGTCGCTATCAAATCAGCTGAAAAACTGCAGTACTTTCTAATCAAACATACACTTCAGCAGCGGAATATATGTGAGAGTAATTTCAAAGCAATAAAAGCAGATAGGCATTCCTGTTGAAGATATAGCATAGCTTGATTAGAGCAACGACTGTGTATTTACGTAAAAGACTTTGGAACCCAAGATATGCCTCGCGGATACAAGTTCTAGGTGCACTGTAGTTTTAACAACCTTCACCCCTGCCCTCCAAAAAACAATTCTTTTTGGAAAAATTAAACGAAAGCAAGACCCACTTTGATTAGCTGAGAACACATCTGTGCCAAATAGAACCTGACAATTAAGTGTGCTAGAAATTTTGAGGGTAGACCTAGATGTCCAGCAAGTAGCAAAAACAAATCACAGTCTGGTAAATTTTCCGCTTGATATAATGTGTTTGCGGTGCCGAGAATTTGCGGTAAATATTAGGTGTGAACAACAGCTATGCCTGTAATGCAGGCTACGTCTGCGCGCCGATTGCCAGAATACCACCCTTGCCGATCAGTTAGAGCGCAACGTGAAAGCTGTCGCGTTCGCAGGCGTACCGTTTCAACGTTCAAATTTGCCGCATCGACCGCAGATCGCTGTGCAATGTCCACGCGCTGAGGATGCGTAGAAACTATGGAAAAGGGAGCACGTGCTTAACATTAATGTTCACGCGCAAACTTCACCGCAAAATCTCGGCACCGCAAGCACACTAAATTAGGCAAAAATCTACTGCACTGTAACTGTGATTTCGCATACCTTGTCCTCCTAATTTTTTTAGATGCTGTACAGTTGGTATTGTTAATTACAACACTGTCTTAGGAAACGCTAAACATGAACGTCTCACTTATATGTATTACTTGTTAACGAAGATCACACCGAGATGTCCGTTACATTTTATCCTAGATCATTTGTATCACAGATAGTTTGAACAATCCAATCAGATCACTGAGTTTAGTGTCGATCCTCGCCGATTCTCTGGTTAGCCACCTGAGGCGAATTAGAGGCATCTCCATGGGAAGCATCTTGGGCAAAATGCAGTGTTTCGATCGAGATCATGCATGGCTTTTAGTTCACTCTCCGAGAAGGAGATTGCTGCTACCTTAAATACAAACCTTTAGCTGTTACACAGCTGAAAGGCGACTGCGATTTTCTCACTTTATGCAGATTATCTGGTATTCTTGATGGAGTCGCTGACTTGGGAATGATTCCTACTCCAGAATTTACAGCAAATGCGTAGAGAATAAGCTGAAAATGTAAAAGCCAGAATATTTAGGTATTAATTGTCTGACAGAAATGCTCTCAAGATAAAAGTCAGTAATCCAAACCTGCGGGCTGACTCCATATTTTTTGCACAGTTGCTTGACAATTTCTTCCTGCTGTATCTCTTTATTTCCCCACATAAGAGAAGAGAATGCCTGAATAGTGTGGAATATGATATCACCTTTGAAAAAGAAGTTTCAGGAAAACTCAAAAGTAGATTGTATAAAAATGGAAGACCTGCACAAAAATTCCATTTCTTTCGCAAAAACTTCTCAGAGTCGGTCTTGTAAAATAAGGATGAAACTCAAATTGATCCATTACAGGGCGATGCTGAATATATGAAAGGTTAGTCAGGACATCAAAACTCAAAACAAGAAGGTATACCTTTGCATATTCGAAGAGTTCTATCAAATGATAAACTTCATAATTTGATACTCCTATTGATTTGATGATGCCGCGATCTTGAATAGTAAAGAGCAAGGATATACACGGCGAGCAAATGACTAACCTTTGAATTCCTCGAGTTTCTGCCATACTTCTTTCCTTCCCTTTTTGTTCAGCTCATATAATTCATCTTTCCCGGTATATCTGTCCCTTGGGAAGTGTACTAGAACCATATCCAAATAGCTGGAATCAGAGGTACCAACACAAATCTTGACACTGGCCTTCTCACTTTGTTTTTAGCCTTTTCAAGGACCCTTGAATACTTTCTTCTGCCCAATTCGTTGCATCTCCATCTTTGGTTTGCACTTTCGTAGTAATAAATATATCTTCACGTTTGATACCAACTTTTGGCAAACTTTTCTAGAAGATTCAACTTTGTCAAGTTCAAAAGAGCGAGAAACCTAACCTCCAAAGCATTTCCAAGCTCCGCTTCGTTTGCATATAACTCAGCTGTGTCGAATAAGCGGTATCCCGCTTGAAGCGCGGCATGTACAGACGTATCTATACTTTCCTGCAAATTTATGCTGCCTAAAATCCAGAAAATGTAATTTTCTGCACAACAGTGCGTTGAAAGTCTTTTTTCCAATGCCAAGTAGAGAAAGGGGTCCGCATATAACCGCCACGGTAGTGATGGCAGTTGCTAGTCCCAAAATTCAAGAATGGCAAGAACCCAACGGTCAACTAGCAAATCAAGTCAACAAAATGTTTTTGAGATGCGAGGATTTTAAGCAGAAAGCGTCAGCTATGAAAAACCTACCTGGCCAACTATCCGAGAGATACCCAGTCCAATCATAGGGATTCGATTTCCATCGCTCAGCTCCTTCGTTCCACCAGCGATATCAGCACTGATTGGCATCTTCAAGGAGAAGGCTCTCCTAAACAAAAGCATTTTTGAAGCATTGATCAAACTCAATTCCATTTGAATGCTCGCCCTTGTATCAGCTATCCGGTTTTTAGCACATTCAGAAGGTCGATAATAAGAGAATCAGTAACGTTTTTATAGGAAGGAACATCATTAAATCAAATATTCTGTCAAGCTCTGGCAAAAAATGTAAAATACAGCCACGCAACGAAGCTACAAAAGTGCACAACGCACCACAACTATCGATAACGTTATGCTTGGTTGAGGCCGAAAAAAAGATGGCTACCACACCCCTGAAGATTTTAAGTAAATTTGGATTATTGAAGACAAGCCTGTACGACGTGAGCGATGACACCTCACCAGTACGTGACCGATGACAGTTTCGCCAAGCGAAATAAATGCCGTGTGAACAACATAGAAGCCAAGTTGTTAGTGCTTCAACAGCAAACATGTCAGGAAAAAGTTTGAAGGAAGCGAAAAAGACTTGACTTTAAAAAGATAGAAGCTAAGGCGAAGACCTCTCAGATGTTTAACAACTCTATTCCACATGTTTATGAGTATATTAACAAAAAACCTGATGGCATATGTACAAGATGAATGGAGCAAACGAGTAAACAAACGAACCGGTATCCGTACAAATAAAACATTATGTAAGCAGGAAAACAATAAGCGAAACAAAAAGTCTCATATACCCAGAAGCCTCAGCAACAGACAACAGCATAGTGAGATACAATATGGACATGAAGAAAGAAGAAAAAAAGAAAAAGAAAGCTGTACAAGTGAAAAATATAATTGAACGATACGTAGATAAAAACTGACACAGTATTATAGTTCAAATTCCTTAATAAATGGAAATCCTTATCTAAAGCCTCCGTGCACGGGAAAGTGGATCAGTCACATTTCCTTTCCAATGAATTGTTGCTTCGAGGCAAAAACCTTCCCACCACATCTAGTGCTACTGGCCTGAATAGTGACTTTACTCGAGAAGATTAGCTTTAATTAACCAACCTTGAGATGGTTATTCCCTGTATTCCGACATTTATCTTGTAGCCCAGGAAAGCGAACAAACTTATGACAATCAACCCTACGGTCAGCAGCAAGGAAAGCCCTCCAGTGATCCACGACTGGTCATGAAACACTCCAGAGACATATTCACCAACAGAGCGGCCACACTGTAACCACAGAAATACGTGAGATGTAACGCTACTGTCTAGTAAAACGCAGATAACAAAACAAAAGAAAAAAGCTAAGCAGTACGAATGGGGTGCACACTTGTAGAGACAAAAAAAGAAGTAAGACTAGATGGAAACTGCAAGTACTACACGATAACCAATGCATTCTTGTTCATGTCGGGGGATGCACGATACGAACAAAAACAGAAGAAATACGACTCACTACCTTACCTTTGAAGATATGACGACGACCAGTTCGCCAAGCATATTTGTAGCAATGTAGAAAGGATTCAACCGCCATATAGGTCCAAACCAATTGATGTCACGGCGCGTTCCTGATGACGAGAAGAACATCCCCCACCATGTGGACGCTGAAGGTGGCTTATTATGGAGATGTGTTACAGCTGTGGGTGACTGCGCACCTCTGGATGAAACAAATATATCAGCATAACTTTTAGAATAAACACCTGAGTGATCTCTTGCAAATGATGCATGATATTGATGGAGCAATTCGAACAGAAGAGTGCTGAAAGAAGAGTTTATCGAAAATATGATGAGACAACTGTAGAAAAGATATAATCAAGAAAGCTTCCTGATCTACTTCCACTTTGAATCAAAAGCTATCGTAGTCATTAGCTGGTATGTAAGGCACGCAACATACTTGATCTGCTTCGTCATTGGTCAATTCAGTGAACTGACCATTTGTGAAGTGGATCAAGCGGTTCATGTAAGATGGTTTGATCGTACTCGTCCTCTCAGCAACTTTAGGAAACGCAAAGTTATGCAACCATCCCTTTCGATTAAAGTTTCACCTACACGATGAATCTGGTGCAAAACTAGTGCTAAAAAAAATCAAATAAAAAATTTATACACGGCCCATTTTTGTTTAACTCCGGATACAAGTCAGTGAAGCAATTCTATTACACATTATCCATTCTGCTAATAAGGAAGAATCTCAACTCGCAGTGGCGAATGAACTGAAATGGAATGAAATGCACACAGTCACAGTCGTTAAATCATCCTGATGAGATGATTCTAAATCTATCTTCCATGTCTGCTGCGATAATTCCTGGGAAAAGTTCAAAGCGGTCAAAGATGTGAAGCCATTCTGGACTCAGCACAGCAAGGCGCGTCTAATGATATGCATTTTGATAGATAACCACCGCGATTAGAGATCCTTCCCTAGTTAGAAACTAGACTACGCTTTGCACACCTTTCCTGATTACAAGTTAGATAAGCCTATGAGATTGAACACAAGTATATATTTGTTGAGTACAGCTTGTTCTTACAATGTGTGCAAGCATTTAAGCCTCTTAGCCTCAGAATATAATTACATAGAGTTGGAAAAAGGGAAATGCCCTTACGTCGCCTATCATAAATATGGGAAAAATAATCAGGTATGAATGAACTTTCAACTTCAGCCTGTTCCCACACACTCGTCCTCGTAATGTAGAAAGAGTTATCAAACACGAGACACATAAAGAAAGGTTAAAGAAAGGTACAAAAAGAACAACTCACCTCGTTACTAACGTTGCAACACCAATCGCAAAAGTGAGTCCGTAATGCGGATAACGGCTGTACACGTATTGCAGAAAGAGACGATAAATTATGAACAACAATATCGACCATACGAGTAAGAATAGGAATATTTGCAAAAAATTGTACATAAATAAAAGTATAAACCAGAAGCTCATTCTACTCTGATACAGTATAGAAAAAGAACATTGCAAAACGAGCAGGTGACCAATGACAAGTGGTTAGCTAGTTCGTCTAATTATTGATTAAATACCATGCTAAAAATAACGAAGCACTTTTTTAAATCTAGTCACAAAGTGACGTCAAGCGATTGCAGTGACAGTGCAACTGACAGTGCAACATAAAGCAATCGCGATGTTTGCAGCGTTTTGGCGCGTAGTAAAAAATTAGCACAGCCGCGAACAGGGGACACGACGGTGGCAAATGTCAAGCTGAAAATCTGGGGAAAAGCGGAGGGCCATATCATTTTCATTGAGTAATGACTAATTGCGTCGTTTACAGTGCCGTATAACGATATGACCAGGGTCAAGCAAGGGGTGTGGCACACAAGCGCCGTCGCGACCCCCCCCCCCCCCGCATTTTCATTTGCCTACCGTCATGACTTAAAGGCAGCAGCTCGTCAAAACCGAACATCCCGAAATTTTGACATGGGAGGTTGCTCGCACTCCAAACATGAGAACGGAGCATGTCCGAGCGCACAGAATGCTGCCCTTGCCTAGAAAACTGCGTTACGCGCAAGCCATTCTAGTACACGCGGACGAGCTTGCGATTCTCTCTGACTCAGACACTCGCGGTTGACTCGCGCAGGGCAAAACGATGTGTAGCCATTGAATGCGTGGGCGACTCGCGAAATCGGTGTCGCGGCAAAATCAGGACACCTGATTTTGTGTCGCGGCAAAAGTGCGCGGCAAAATCGGGGCAAAATGGGGAGACCTGCGCGAGACACCAAAATGTCGCGATCGCGTTCAGAGCACGCGGCCTACGCCCTTACTGACAGCTTTTTGCGTCCTCTAAGCCCTCTCTCACGCCTTCCTTTTGACTTACCTTGAGTCCTTGGTCACGTTGGGTCCCGTTTCCCACGCTTGTTTTTTTTCTGCTGATAAACCCAGTCTTACGTCATAAAATTTATTAGCAAATACCATATGATCTTCTCGAGTAGCGTTTACAATAACATCGAAATGAGACAGGAATCAAAGCACCGCAATCACGACACAAGGTTACGAAAGAACTACGGTTAAGAATGACAACAGCATTAATTTTTTACGACTACTTCATCTTCATCTTCAACGTTTTCAGTCTTCTGGATCGTTACGCCTTCTTTGGTAACACTGCTGCCTTCGACCATGACGCGCTTTTTCTGAAAATAAAAAATTATTGTCACCAGGATCGTATAAAACAAACGAATTACCTTTGATGGAAGGAGCATGGACCTATCAGGGTCAAAATGATACCTCCCGATGTCTTCCCTGCAAAAATATAGTTCAGAAGTATCGCTTTCCTTATGAGAAAACTCACAAAGCTCTCCCATTTGCTATCCTCGCCTTACCGCTCCAGCTAAGGATCACGAATTTGGCATTAGGGCCCCAAGAGCAGCAGAATGATATGCATCATGTGTGGAAACCCCACTTCGATGGATGATCCTTCCCTTGTAAGTAAATTCCGAATTCCGGCTAAGCCAACTGTCAGAAATGATGACGTGCGGGATGAACAATGTGCATAAACTCTTTCATCTTCCGAATTGAGTACAAATCACTGAAAAAAAAAGGCGAGAGTCAAATGAGTGATTTTTCTAAACTCGTGAGATGCGGTACGATAAATGTGAGCTATGCCAGGTAAATTTTGAACTGGAATTGTGTACTCTAAATAATATGGAACTGGAACCGGCAATATTGATGCCAGTTTTTGCACAGAGTTGAACCGTAGATGACATTCTTCATGTGATGAAAAATCTGCTTTAAGAAGTTCAGAAAAAGCATTACAAGCAACCGCAGTTCAAAAATCGCATAACCTCCAAAATTTCGAAAATGACTCTTGTAAGCTCATACCATTTTAAGAAATGAGCAACCGCAAAAGAAGAACATTACTTTCTCAGTTTCATAAATAAAAACATGCCTTCTTATTCAGCTCTTGCACGGCCGGAAGATCACTATCCACTTGTGAATCGACATTCTCGCGGCTTTCATCATTGTCATTAACATTCTCTTCTTCCTCTTCTATAAAATCCTGGAATGAGCTTATATCATAGGTGAATCATGGTAATCATAATGCGGAAACTCTTCCGACCTCCTCAAGAACAGGATTATGCTTAGGTCGGCGTTCCCTTCTTGGCTTCGGGGATCGCAACGCAAAATCGTCATCCCATTCGTTTTCGTAAAAGCGCTTGAAAACCAAAATAGTACACGTTAGCATAAATACTCAAAGTCCAGTAATCAGCTAAAGTAAGCAAGCAAAACAATCTAAGAATGAAATATAACTTCTAGAAAGAGAGAAAAAGGGTTCACCTTTACTTCCGGATGATGATCAACGCAGATAATGGCCGTGTGATCAGAAGGACGCGTTCGAAATGAGCGTCTCAAGCTGATTCTCTTTGGTCTAAGCCTGGTTTTTATCGGCATGGAACGTCTCTGGAAAGACATGCTTTGCTAAGTATAGATTCATCTAAGAAAAAAAAAACAAATGCAACAAATGCAGGGAAGAATTGATCAATACGTCGACGTATAGGTGCGTTATTTCGAAACCTCCTCGCCCGTCGCGACAAAATCGCACCAAAATCCGGACGAAACTAAAATGATGACTCGCGCCGGTCCACCGGATTTTGCCGCGAACGTCCATTTTGTGGGCGGATCCCCTGCGCGAGTCAACCGCGAGTGTCTGAGGACCCGTCAGAGAAGGCATGCCGCAATGTTATAACTGCGAAGGTCCCGCAACGACCTCTCTAGCCATGGCGGGACGTGCTCCACTGTCCAAATTTAAAAGGGGAGGCCTTGGAAAGTGATGGTTTTTGCCATTTTCGTGCTCTTTGAAGTGGATATTCGGAATCAACGCCTCGAATTACCTCAGCTAAGCAAAAAAACTTCAAGTCGAGAATCTGCCGAGCCGCTACCTTCAATGGTTCTACCAAGATTGGTAATATATCCCCTTGCAAATGCCGGAATGTACCGTATCCGTCGCTTCTTTGAGGGTTTTGCTGAGGTGCCTCCAAGAGGAGGAGGGGAGGGAAGGGGGTGGAGAGGTGGGGGGGGGGGGGGAGGGGGGAGGGGGGAGGGGATCCATAAGTGATGTATGTGCTCCATATCACAACGTTAGTGTACAAAAATTCACAATAAGTGCACCATCTTTTGCAGTCTCGGCAAATTGCTGCAGCGACACGGTCGCCGAACTGGGCCTCACTGCTGAGCCGCGGCACCTACATTCCGGCGTGACATAGATAGATTTACGCAAAATTCATACTCTTCCACTTTTCCGTAGTAATATCATTTGGACTGCTTTTTACTTTCCTGGTCCCAGATAGGTGACGAGGAAGTGACTGAGGAATTTTCATCAGTTGTTTCTTATGTTTCTTACCACAAATCAGTGAACTATCCCACCCTAAATAAAATCACAAAAACAAAGGGAAACAGGTAATTTGAGGGGAAAATCGAGAGAGATTGTGAGCCTAGGAAGTGGCGATCTTCTAGACCCGCTGAATTTTCTAGTCAAAATTACTCCCGGTCGAGGCTTAAACTGCTGAACCCTTGGGCTACTCCCACGAGGGTTTTGATTTTTTTTAAAGAAGGACGTCGGTATGGTCGTGGGCTACTGTAAGGCCACTCGCTGCTATTCTACCACTAATAGTTTATCTACCACTCTTTTACCTACCACTCTCTTCAATGCTTCTAGCAGCTCAATGCTTTACTTCCAGCCTCAGGGGTGGAGGACTATATGTCAAAGTGGAAGGGTCCCGCGCAGACTTCTTGCGAGAACGCACTTTCGTACATGTGCAGGGGTGCGGATTTGTTGCAGATGACTGGGGGTGCCCCTTTTCGGCGACATACAGTCTTCTAGCCCAGACTCAGACATGTCCTCAAAAAAACATCTTTTTGATACTCACATCTATCTCAATCACGACAACAAAACTTCAACATGAAAATGAAACTTGGAATTGGAAAAACCTCCTAATAGTCTTGTCAAGGTGGATCTTGCTTAACAATAACTATGTTCTCTGCCATTTTTGATCAACGAAGTACTTTCATCATTTATTATACATTTGAAAATTCTCGCCGTTTGAAAGACTACTTGTCCAGATTTTTAATGTTGAGTTTTTATGTTAGCCTGACGTTATCAAACGAAGCTGTTGAAAACTTTTTCGATCCTTAGATGTCACAAAAGGCTGGTTTGAGTAAAGCGATGTTTGCCTAAGTGACTGTGGGTGTATGCCAAGAGGCGCGATTTTTACTGCCAGATGGACAGCATATAGCACATATTTAGTGTTTTATAGAGTTCCAGAATAATTTGAAATCTCAAAAGAAATATACTAGATAATCACACGAATTGCTTCATCTTATCATCTTGAAATAGACATAATTGTTAAAGGTCAACCCATGAAAATGCATTTAATAGCAATTTCGTAAATATTACAGTCAGTTTTCTGGCAAAAATCGCCAAACTTTCCAGATGATTACCTCAAGCAGCTAGTAAGCCAATGGGCTTTGTTCGGACTTTTTGAATACCCCCATAACACGGAATTGGAGTTTTAAGTTGCTCCCAGCCGGCAAAATCGCGCCTCTTAACCGTCTCGCAGTGAGTATGACCAAAAACAGGCTTGCAAGCACTTCCGCATATCATGGTATATATGAGTCAATGACAGTAAATGGAAGAGCAAATTTTATGAGTACTCAAAATGTCTTTATTACTCCGCACCAACAATTAGCGACCATATAGCCAATATGGTACAATACACTAACGTCATACAATGAGCGGTGTTGTATGACGTTTCTGAAACATTTGGGCTTTTTTGTCCTTCTCCAAGCTATCCTTGTTAAACTCATTACTTTTGTCCGCAAGAGAACAAGTGTGGTACTGTATGAAAGTCAGAGGTTTATCAAATCATTAGCTTTAGCAATAGCATTAACAGCATCTACACCGTTAATCTGGAATGCACGGTCCCATCTCATTGATACAAAGTAGTACCCCCTGTTTCACTAAGAGTGATGGGGCTCGTGCGGCTCAAATCTCGCGCGGCCGCTCGCCTGGGGTATACGCCTCCTTCGCTGCGTGCTGTCTAATCATTCCTCCACGCTTAACTAGGGTTCGGAATTTTTTACATTTTGGAGG